ATATACAGGGCAGGCACGAGTAGGTGTCAAGTGGGGGAGGGGGTTGCCCTAAGGTTGTTGGCCAAATTGAAAAAAATAAATAAAAAAGGAGATCTGAGAATTATCCGACTGAAAATGGATAAAGGCCCCATTTTGCCGACTGAATCTACAAAAAGGCCGCAACTTGCCCACTGAAAGTACAAAAATGTCCCAATTTGCCAACTGAAGGTTCAAAAAGGTTCCAATTTGCCGACTGGAGGTACGAAAATCCAATAATTGAGGGTGACCCTCCTTGTCACACACACACACCCCTATCGCGCCGGCCTATATATATATATATATATATATATATATATATATGTATATATATATATATATATATATATATCAATTGTGGAGTCAGAACTTATTACGCTTTTGCTTTTTCGAGAAAAATGCGGGATGCTTTCTCAGTGTGATAACTCAAAAATGAAAGATTTGGAAAGAAAAAAAGAAGACTTCCAAAAAAGGAAGAAAAAATTATTGGCTGAGACCTTAAAAGATTATCGCGAGATTGCCTCTAAATTAAGAATTCATGAAAAGGCTGGACGCCCTTCTGTTATTGAAAGTCGACCGGAATTACTATCAATAATTATTCAGGTTGCCACTCACGGGGCTGCTGCAGCTGACAAACGAATATGCGAGACTTTAAGAACAGTTAAATCTCTTGATGATTTGCTTCGATTGAGAATTTAAAGAAATTGCCTTCATTCTTGGGACCAGCTTCATTCTTAGGACCAAGATGACAAAGCAAAAGTGTCAATTGGCCTCCCAGCAGCTACTTTACAAGCTCCCTTGATCATGCATATGGAATATAAAGTAAGATTACCTGATCACAATTTTATCATTGCTCCATGCCATAAACTTACTCAGTCTATACTGGGCTAAAAATTGAAAAAGATGGATTCGGCAAAAAGGAAATTGTGCGCTACTCGGATCCTACCTATATTTCAATAAGATTAGCAAAACATTCGAATTCCACAGCTTATTCTTAAGCAAGAGGTTTTGGAAAATTATATAAACTACCGCTATTTCGAGACATTATGTTGGATTTGAATGGTAATACAAAGCCAATTGTTATAATGTTTAATGACGGAGGACCGGATGAAAACCCCAGATATCAACAATTAAAATGGCCATTCACAACTTCATCACTTTTTATTTGGATTCTCTAATAATTGTCTCAAATGCACCACAAAAAAGTGCATTCAATCCAGTTGAACGAAGAATGGCTCCACATTCACGTAAATTTTCAGAACTAAATTTGCCTCACGAAACTTATGGATCACATTTGGAATGTTCTGGAAAGACAACTAACTTAAAGTTGGAAAGAGAAAAATTTAAATATGCTGGCGAAACATTACCTGAAGTCTTCTCCAACGTAGTGATCGATAACTTTGAAACCTACTCAGATTTTATTGACACGATTAACTCAGAAATCGATACCAAAGCAGTAATTAAAAAAAGTCAAGAATGGATTGCTGTTCATGTAAGATCTAGTCAATATATGTTGCAGATTTCAAAATGTTCTGACATCAAAGGCTGTACTGAGCCAAAGGAAAATATTTTCAAATTTTTAAAGAAAGATTTCGTCCACCTCTCATTCCTTTATGTTATTGCCCTTTTATTGAGTCACAGTTTTCAGTTGATAAGACTTATCGCTATACATCTCTTTTCCAATCTCTGCATCTTACTCCAAAAAATATTCCGCTTGACCAACATTGTCCAAGTATTAAAAAAATCCTTCAAAATAGAGTCTGCAAAAAGTGCAACATTTATTTTACATAATTAACTTCGCTTAATAATCATAAAATAGTTCATCCGAAAGAGAATAAAGTTAAAAAATTAAAAGCAATATACAAAGAAAATTATTCGAAAGAAAGAAAATGCACAACTTGCTTTCTTAGAAGGTGATAGAGGCTTTAAAGCAGAAGAAAGGGTAGAGAAAAATATTTTACAAGGAGAAGAATCAAACTTTATTGATATTTTTTATAGAAGTGCTAGGTTGTGAACGAATATTGACATAAAGACCCACATTACCCCATCCAACAATGTTACTTATTTCAAAAAAACTTTGCATCATTTTGTCCTAAAATTAATTGAATCTAATTTTCTAAAAAACTAAAAATGTTTTATTAAAACATCCAATTTTCAAATGTAATTGAGAAGGATAAAATTTGGTATGATCTCGGGAAAGGGTTATCTAGCCTTGAATTGTTTTCACATACAAGAGAAATTCGTTGCATGATGATTAAATTTTTTAAATTTTTATATATTTAAAAAAAAAGTCAATATTTATTTTAATTAAATCTTTTTACTTGTTTTTGAATAAACAGATTTTTCAAAATAAAATGTAGTAAAAAGTCTCTATAAATAAATAACCACTTTTGTACTTGTACCCTTTTATTTTGCATTTTTAAATAAATAAAAACAATGTAAAAAGTTTGAAAAAAGTTTGAAATTATTTCCAAAGGACGGCCCTGATTCTCTTACTTAAGTTCATTTTTAATACGGGTAAAAAAATGCTAAACTATTTTTATATGGTAAAATATTAATTCAAATTTAATTTTTTCCAAAAAACATTAATTTAAAAATTTTGATAACAATAGTGTTCTATTTATTCATCAAGAATTCAAAATTTTTTTAAGAAATCAATTCTATGCTATATATAGCATATTTTGTTTATATATAATATATTTAGCATATATCGTTTATAACTTTATAGCATATAGTTATAAATGCTATATATATATATATATATATATATATATATATATATAATATATATATATATATATATATATATATATATATATATATATATATATATATATATATATATACATATATTTTAGCATTTATATATAAACGATTCATCAATAAAAACAGTAGTAGAAATTAATTGGAGAGAAAAACAGATTATATTATCCTAAAATTTTAAACATCAAAAGAAATTTTTATAAAAGTAAAATTTGATTTAGTTTAACAAGCACAGTAAGTTTTTCAGAAAATTTTTAAACGAGATATCATCGTAGAAGGTTATTATGGTTATTATGGTATTACTATGGTATCAAAGGACTAATGTATAAATGGATAAAAAACTTTCTGAACAGAAAGCAGTTTGTAATTAACAAAGAATCAAGTGTTCTTGATATTGAGTGTGGGGTACTTCAAGGCTCAATCTTAGGACCGTTATTGTTTTTAATTTACATCAATCATATGCATAAAGCATCATCAATATTATCTTCAATAATGTATGCTGATGACACAACTTTATTTTATAATCATATTAATTTAAAATCGATGTTCGGAGCAATGAATACTGAACTGGAAAACTTTAATTTATGGTTTAGAGCAAATAAACTTAAACTGTGAAAAAACTAACAACATCTTATTTCATAAAACAGGTCAATCAATCAATAAAACAGCTCAATCAAATGTCTCTACCGATAAAAATTCCAGAGTTGTTCATTAACAACATAACAAAAAACCGGAAAAAATATGCAAAGTTTCTTGGTGTTCAAATTGATGAAAATTTATCATGGAGAAATCATATTGGACATATTGAACCAAAAATAATATCTGCAAAAGGTATTTCATATAAATATCGCCCATTTCTTGATTTCTGTTTAAGAAAAAAACTTTACTTTAGTCCAATTCACAGTCATCTCACATATGCTACAATAGTGTGGACTAATACACACAAAACAAAATCAATCAAACTGCAAGGCTTGCAAAACCCTGCTTGTAAAGCAATTCATTATCTAGGTAGAATGGACAATCCTTCTAATGCGATGGCAAATATGAAAGTCTTGGAAAAACTTAATCTATATCAGATTCTTATATTTATGTTCAAATATAAAAATAATATGCTACCAAGTTCTTTTTTAGACATATTTTCGTCATCATTTTCTCAAGGTTATATATAAACGATTCTGCAATTCTGCGATTCTCTCCAATTGATCTGCGATCAAATAGCTTCCATAACTATTTTATAAAAAGAATTAAAACCAAGGGGTTCTGAATTTTCAAAAAATGAAAATTTACAATTACTATAAATGGTCTTTATGTAGATATATATCATCTAGTTTAATGTACTTTTTTATACAAAGTTACATTCTAGTAATAATACATGTTCCGTTTTTGTTGTTTTTGTTGTTTGATCGCCATCCGAATTCCTTGGTTTTATATTTCATTTTTTTAAAAGACTTAAATGGAATATCGTCGTTTAAACGGCAAGCAAACCCGCATATTCTTAGTTTGTAAAAATGATTGTAATAAATAAAAAATAGAAAATTATAAAAAGTTAAAAAAAAAAAATAGTAATAACAAAGCTAATTACAAAAAAATTATTTCTAGGTTTAATTAATTAACTTATATAGACATAGATATACGCCAAATGGCGCTATTAAGGGAATCTGCGGAAAGATTTTTTTTTGAGTTTTATACCCAAATGTTAAATCTTCTTTGATTTCCTTTTTTTTATGTATTAAAGTATAGAAAAAAAATAAATATATATAATAGTTTTTTTTTTACCAGAATTTATATTAAAGTTTGCATCAATACTATATTAATGTATCAATATTATATTAATGTATTTTTATCAATCTGATAGGTAATAATTTTGTATATATATTTTCTTTTTTTTACGATAATAAATGTATATTTTATATGGTATACCTGGAGAAGAAAAAATAAATAAGAAAAAAAAAAGTTTGTTTAATGGTATTTTTATTTCCTATTATGGGTAATTTTTAATAATATATTTTTATTTAAAACCATTATAATATTTTGATTTTTTGATTTAAATTTATACTTATAAGTTTTTCAAGTCAAATTCTAATAAAACATTTTTTTAATATATAAATGTTTAATTAAATACAATCCGGTTTTTTTATACATAAATCGGTCGGCAAAACCCGGGAATTCGGATGGCGACCAAACAACAAAAACAACAAAAACGGAACATGTATTATTATTACTAGAATGTAACTTTGTATAAAAAAGTACATTAAAATAGATGATATATGGCTATATAAAAACCATTTATAGTAATTGTAAATTTTCATTTTTTTTTAATTTTTCATAGTTATTTTTTTAAATGTTTTTTGTTTTTGAGTTTTGACAATTTTCAGGTCAATGTTTTTATACGATTCTTAATGAAATTCTCTATCGAAATCAATCATAAAATGATAGGGGTAAGAAACTGAAACAGTGCCAAGTTTCTTGTGTTAATTTTAAATTGTTGTATTTGATCTCTTCTTATTTATCTTTCTTCTAGTGTTGTCAGACCAAAGCAGCGGATTCTTTCCTCATTTGTTTTACTACTAATTTCTTATACTAGTTTTCCTAAATCACTTTGATTTTTTTAATTCTATTTGGATTCCATATTTGAAGCACCATACTCTTTATGTGGCCTCACCGTTTGTATAAAGAACATCTTAATAGTGACGATGTTAAGGTATTGGAATGAGTTTTTAAGCTGACCTAATATACGATTTGACATTGTTATTACAGAATTGATTTGCTGGTCACATTTTAAGTCAGAGCTGATGATCAGCATCTTATTTGCTATTATATATGCTATTATTTTCTTAAGTAAAATAGTGTGAATGATACTTGATTGAATCCTTTGCTGAAGTCTTTAAATAGTATATCATCTAGAAGTTCTATTTAGTAATCACATTCTAAATGTGATGACTAATGAAATAAACAAATTACAACTTTATTTCTATAATATATATGTCTTATATTCTTTGTTTGAACTCTTACAATTTTACATAATACAATTTTCATAATCTTTGGGTTGTTTTTTTTAACAAATCTATTAAAATATTTTAATCAATTTATTTACATTTTTTTATAAATCGCCATAATGCTTTATAAAATCACAGCATGTCTCATTCAGAGTAAAATCACCTTGCCTTGAAAGACTTGAATCTCACTCAGACAATGAAAGTTATTATTCATCTCCTGATGATGTACTTTCTTTATCTTGTAAATTCACTTTACACTTCAATGCTTTTGCCTTAACTTGGCAAATATTATTTTGTTTCTTTTGCTGTCTAGCTTTCCATTTATTTTGTTTCTTTTGCTGTCTTTCTTTTCATTCATCTTAAAAGTCTAGTTTTTTGGATCCCCTTGTCAAAATCCTGGTACTAAATAAAAATACTTCTACACCAATTCCAGCAAAATATTTTGCTGGAATTGGTGTAGTAGTACTTTCTGACACTATGTGTTAATTTTTTCTCTTTGTAATATTTATTGAGCTTAATTTATTGACACTATTTTTTGTTGGCAGAGGTGCATGAATGGAAGTGGTATTAGTTTCAGGCATACTATCTGTAAATTTGTAATGGCCACAAAATTTATAAAAACGGTGAGGCCCAGTATGAGAGACCACCACCCTTTTACCACATGTTTTGTTAAAATATGAATTTATTGTCTTAAGTATTATGTGGCCCAAAGATTGTAGTTTTTAGGATGTATGAGGTAGAATAGTCAAAACATGAATTATTTTGTATTTACAAAAATTAATGGACTCAATAGTTAGTTGTGATATATGATTACCAAAAACAATAGATTGCTGCAATCAAAAACAAACAATTGCTGCATCCTACATGTCTTAAAAATAAATGTAAAGACAATAAAAAATTTGGAATCTGTTCCTGGATGTCTACCATCTGTGCTGCCAGTTTTTGTGTAAATGTTTTCCTACACTATCCTGAGTTCTCTTTTAACTTGCTTAGTAGCTCTCTACTCTACAATATGTCTATTGAAGGTACATAAGATCACCATAATAAAGTTTCCAAAAGGCATGCTGCTAGCAAATTTGAATCACATTCCTAACTCAATATATGTTGAAAAAAGACAAGCATAAGTTGATTTTTCATTACTCAAACAACCATGAGCATGAACGACTCCTGTCCTGGCAAAATAAATAAAAACTGTAAAATTTAACCAAAGGTTGTCTGGATGTGCATTTCTGACAATTTTTGCTTAGAGGAAGAAATTATTAAAACCTTTTATTGAAGATTATCATAATGATAATATGTAGAAAATAAAACTACTTAATTTTCACCACTTTAAGTTTCATGCTATTACAATCGTCACAAAATTGATTGAAAAATCACATAGTTTTTTTTCTACCTATATATATTATATTAGAGCTCTGATTCAGTTCATCGAGCACTTTCTTGATAGTATATGCATTTAAAACAGTATATATATATATATATATATATATATATATATATATATATATATATATATATATATATATATATATATATATAGTGATTTTCTACTAATTTGTAATTGTATATAATTGATTTCCTTGTAATTTGTAATTGCTCTGTTATTTTAAGAACATTGAGCACTCTTATTGTAGAATACATTTTAAATTGTTTATATATATATATATATATATATATATATATATATATATATATATATATATATATATATATATATATATATATATATATATGTATATATATATAAATTTAAAGAAAAAAGGTTAAGGTTAAATTCGATTTTGAGAAACTAAAAAAGTACTTATTATAAGTACTTTTTTTGTTTCTCAATATCGAATTCTGATATGTTTGATAATCTTTTTTCTTTAACTTTTATCCCTTACTTTTTCTATACTCAATTAATTTTCTGTGCTGTGTAAAATTTTACTATTAAATTTTATTAAAATAGCTAACTATAGTTACTTATTTTATTAAAAGTTTATTTTATTAATTGTTTGTTAGTTTTTAAAAAAAAAAAAAAAAAAATTTTACTAAGTGATTTTCTACTAATTTATATGTGTATATATATATATATATATATATATATATATATATATATATATATATATATATATATATATATTTATATATATATATATATATATATATATATATATATATATATATATATATATATATATATCAGACACGGATTAACCTTTTGTGGGGCCTGAAGCTACGTGAATTTTTGGGCCCCAAAATCTTATTACCAAAATATAAGTAAAACGTAATAAAAAACAAATAAACTTTGGAAAAACTATAAATTCATTTTAATTCACAAAAATAACAACAAACATAATAAAATTTAAATTTTTTGTTTGCAGCATTTTTTATTTGCAAATTCTCTTATTACTTCATCATAAGATACTGATTTTGTTAAGTCATTTTCAATTGACAAAATTGAAAGAAAATTAAGTCTGGCTTCCAGCATTGTGGTGCGATATTTATTTTTAATAAATGTTAATTTTGAAAATGCTCTTTCAGCCTCACAACTGGTTATTGGTAAAGTTAAAAATATCTTAAATGCTGTATAGAAATTTGGAAAAACATCTATCAAATTTCTCTTATATATTAATTTAAGCATACTGGAACATTTTGTTTGTTTGTTTTTTTATTTGTAATTTGAAGATATTCCCTAAATTGTGTACATTCATTTATTAGTCCAGCATCTATGTCATTATTGTAGAATGAAATGACATAATGCTTTATATGTCTATATTAGAATGATCTTTTTTTCCTATATTCAAAAGAAATTTAAATTACTTATTTATTTCTTTGTATACTCTCCCTCTTTTCGATAAATCGTTTGCTAAAGAATCAAAAAGGACATAGTACACCTCTACCCGAAACTTGTCCATTAAAAGTTTGTTTCACCTCTTGTTTAAATCATTATAGTTTCCTGTAATTTCTTCACTCAAATTTTTAGTTTTTTTTTTCGAACTCGTTCATTTTTTCTTCTGAATTTTTTTGCATTTCTTTTACAAAAAATTCTAATGAGAAAATTAATTCATAGCCTTCAGAAACATCGAGCCCGGGGGTTTGTAAAATTTTGCTGACTTTATTAAAATGTTCAAGAACCTCCTCCCAAATTATTGTCAAAATTGCATTTTCAAGCTTTATTAATTTCTTAAATAAAATATTTGCCTCTCTTTTACAATCAAGCTCATCTTTGCTTTCTTCATGAATATAATTAAGAGTTTTCAAAACATCACTGTAGCCATTTTTTAATACTTTAACTGAATCATGATGCACTGACCATCTTGTAATACTTAAACTTTTTAAAGAAAATTGTAAATTAATATATTTCTTTAAAAAGTCCCACCTGTGTGGCGATGCAGAAAAAAAATACGTATAGTCATTACAAAATCCCAAAATAATCAATAATTGGTGTTACTATACTAACTGCTTCTACCCCTACCAAATTTAGAGAATGTGTTGCACATATTTCATATTTTAACTAACTATTAAAAATATTTATTATTTCAAAATATAAATGTAAACATTTAAATACTTGGGTAACTAAATATTAAAAGGCTTTCTTTATCTAAGAAAAGTCTTTTTTTATCCATTTCCATAACAAACCAAACCAACAAAAGTCTCTCTTAGTTGATATTTTCGCGCTTATAGAAATCTATAATTTTAATAACTCTCCGTGTCAAATCGCACGAAGGGAATAAAAAAATCTAGTACAATCAGAAAATAAATAAAAAAACATTTTTTTTTTCTTATTTTCATTTTCTGTAATTTTTTTTTTAATTTTTTAGAATTATATTTGATTTAAAATTGAAAGTGTTTAGGACCCTCTTTTTGCCGGGGCCCTGAAGCTTCAGCTTCATTAGCGTACAGGTGGATCCGCACCTGATATATATATATATATATATATATATATATATATATATATATATATATATATATATACAACCCTTAGAATTAGGGTCGGCATTTGGCAATGCTGACCTAACTGTCGACTTGAAAGTGTTTGAGGTCGGCAAAAAATTGCCGACCTCATTTCTATGCTTTATGGTCAGACCTTTGTATCAAGGTATAAAATTGCGAATTATTGCTGACCTCATTTCTTGTAATTCCGAGAGTTATATATATATATATATATATATATATATATATATATATATATATATATATATATATATATATATATATATATATATATATATATATATATATATATATATATATATATATATATATATAAAGAGAGAGAGAGAGAGAGAAAAAGATACAACCCTCGGAATTAGGAAAAATAAGGTTGGCAATAACAGTGCTGATCGTATTTGGGCACCAATTTAAGTCCCGCCCAAATTTAAAGTTGAGGACCTTTTTCTTTTTAACGGCAAGTATTTTTTTTGCAAAAAACCCCTACATTTGGAAATATTTCTGCTTAATTTTGCCAGGAAATGGGGAAATGGGGTTTCTGCTCCCCTAATTTTTTTACTAGAATAGCCCCTGATATATATAAATATATATATATATATATATATATATATATATATATATATATATATATATATATATATATTTAGCTTCTATAAGTTTAAATTATGGCTGTTTCATTGGTGCAAAAAAGTAATTGGACTAATATTACAGATACTTATAGTTCTGCTGATAATTGTATAAAATCGAAATCAGATCTTTTTTGTAATAAGCATGATGAATCGAAAGTTACTTTGTTGATACATGTTATTGATGGTTGGATAATTGAAGAAAGCAATCAACCATTTAAGGTGAGTTTAAAGATTATTTGAGGTTCCAAATTTTTTTGATTTGTAAATATTTTTTTTCATTTTTGTTAAAGTTTTTTTATATACATCTTTTTATATTTTCATTGTAGGATTCAAATATTGATGAAAATATAAATGGGGGTGTTAAGTCATTAGCAGAGAATGGTAAATGTAGTGATGATTTTGTAGAAGTTCAGGAAAAAGAAATTAACACTGGTAATTTATTTTATAGAATTATTATTTTATAGTATCAAATAACTTATAGAATCATTATAATTTTGAAAAGTAAGATTTTAACAGCCATTTATAAAAGATAACAAAAGATAAAGAAATCATGTGATAGGAAAGTATACCAGAACTGTAGAAAAACTGAAAATATATAAGATTTACTTGTATACTATAAAACAAAGTCTATGTTTAAGCAAAATATCAGCGTGTTATTTATTCAGTTATTAATTCTTATTTCTGTTTTTTTTTTCTGCTGTATCTTGCTGTATATAATTTCATTATTAAAAACTAATCATAATTAAAATTTAAATGTTTGAATATTTAATTTAAATAGTCAAAAAAATATTTTGTTTTATGCTTATTTAAATGAGCAGCCGTGGCGCAGCGGTTAGAGTTCTGGCTCAGAACCCAGAGGTACGAGGTTCGACGCCAGCTCTAGCCCAACAAGTGACATTGGTACAGAAGGAGGCGTGAACTTCCCGTTAAATGCTCTCCCGCGGTGCTCTATGATAAGACCGTAAGGACTTCTGGGAGCACCTAAATACATACAAAAAAAAAAATCAAGATTTTTTACATTAAGTAGAAGGATCTATTGTCAACGTCAACAAAAACAACAAAAAGTAACATTTTTATTTGATTACTCTAACCCTATTTATTTCAAAATAAAAATACTTTTTATATTTATGACAAGCATAGTTTGTTCTTCAATTATAGGGTTTAAATTTAAATTGAGCTGCAGAATGATAAAAAAATTAAAAGATTTTCTTCTTGTTTTGAATTTATTTTTTTATTCATTTTTTTATGAAAAATAAAAACAAATAAAATATTTAAAAACTAGAATAAAAATACCTTCTAAAACACTTTTCCTATATTTAAAATCTTATTCCTTTAAGGAGATATGTGTCTTTAAATCCAGTCTCGTTTTTTAGTTGTCACCTGTTAGTGCATTATTACACATTTTTGGACATTAAACCTTAAAATCCAGTCTTCTGTCCATTCAAATGATGTATTTAAATCTTTTTGTAGACTTGAGGAACTACTCTGATATTAACTTTGATAGAATCTTGATATCGTCAGCAAAAAGTTTTTTATATATTCACTAATATCAAGCATATTAGTGAATATATATAAAAAAATTTTATCATTAAATCATTCATATATAAAATAAACATAGATCGTTAATATATAAAATAAACATCAAGAGTCTAATAAATAATAGAGCCCTGTAGCATGTCACTAAAAACTTCAGGTTCCATCAAGTAATATTTCAGTTTTTAGTTTTGTGAAAACTTTCATTGTTCTTCATAATCACTTCTCTCTAAAATTAATTTTAAATGGAATAATGTTAAGATAAATAACTTAATTATTGTAAAGTTAAATTGCTATCTGCTTTCTTATACAAAAATTATATTTTCATTATCTGTGTATCTGAATTCTTTCATTATCTGTGTATCTTATATTTTTTATTATCTGTATATCTTTCATTATTTGTGTTGTTATATCTTTCATTATTTGTGTATCTTATATATCCTTCTTATCTTTCAAATGTTGCATTTTTACTGGCAAAAAGTGAATTGCAAATTGTTGAATATCAAAAGTGCCCATACTAAGTTTTATCTAAAGTAGTAATGTATTAAACATGGAATAGCATTCATAACAGGACTGTTGTAAAAGAATATATTGTAATAGATAAAAGCCAAGGAAAGAAAAAAAATTTTTTTTAATTTTTTTTTTGGAGTTATTGAGTTATAAGGCAGTAGAGGGTTATAAAAAAACTTACAAAATAATAGTAGCCTTATCACGAATTATTTAATCATAGTTAAAGTTATCCAATCATAATTATAAAATATTCATAAAATTGAAAATATTTTAAAAGAAAAAATATCAATGAGAGATTTCTATTGACATTCTTATAAATACATCACTTAAATATTTTATATAATTAGAATAATTATAATAAGTTGATGATAATTAGAATAATTATTTTAAGTTAATAATAATTAGAATTTTATTAGAAATTAATGACATTAATAAGCTCTGTTTTAATGTTAAAGATTTTGTATAAAATTTAGTATAGTAAAAACTGTTTTTATTTATTACTTATTGTTGTTATTTTTATATATCTTAACCTATCTTATATTAACATATCTTTTATAGTTCAACCTAATCTTGAGGATAAAGATGAGCTTATGTCACTCTTACCAACAAAATGCAAATATTGTGGAGCTGAGCTACCAGAGAGACGGGCTATGTGGGGAAAACGTTTTTGTAGTGTATCATGTGGTAAAAGGTACAGTGTAAAGTGTTCAAAAAAAGCTAGGAAAGCTCTTCAAAGTATGTCTACTTTAAAGAATGATAAAAAGGTAAACTATAAGGAAAGTAAATCCGAAAGAACTAGGAAATCTGAGGTATATATGATAGTTTTTGTGAAATTACCAGTGATAACATATTCTTAATTTTATTGTTTAAGTTTTTTCAAATTTTGTGTTTTGATTTTTTGTTAAGAGGCAGAGCAATTGTTGACTTACTTTGACCTGTGTCAAAAAATAATTGCAGACTTTAGTGCCATTGAGATTGTTAGTGAAGATTAAGCCTATCATTGATTACATATTTTTTTTGTGTGTGTGTTTTTGTGTGTGTTTTTGTGTGTGTGTGTGTGCGGTTATTAAGGCACTACCAGAAGTCCTTATAGTCATTATTACAGAGCGCTGAAAAGTGTTTAACTAGAAAGTTCATTCCTCCTTCCTTACCAATGCTGCTGGGCTAGAGTTAGTATAGAACTTAGGACCTCTTGGTTCTGAGCCAGAACTCTAACCACTGCGTCACAGCTACTATAATCTATGGTAGGCTTATTCTTTAATAATAATGATAGATTGTTATAGATAAAACTAAATATATCATACTGAAGCTCTTTAAAATGACAAAAAAGAAAATCCAAAACAGTCAACAAAAGATATTTTTACAAAAATTTTTGGTTACGCTCTTATTACGTTGTTGTTATAAAGTCCTCATTGATTGGTACAAGAATATTACACATCTAAAAAATGTACCTCTGAAAAAGCTGTAAAAGATGATAAAGGAAGTTTCTGCATTTAGTTAATATTACAAGCTTTTACACTTTTTTTTTTCAATTTTAATTTACCTTTCCAAGGCCATGGAGGCCTCGAGGAGGCAACTTTAGTTGCGATTACAACCCTTTCTCAAATCTATAGCTCCGAAACATAAACCTTGGTTAACAAGGCCGCTGCACAGAGAAACGAGTTGAGCTCAGTACTACCCGAGATGTGGTGGGGATCAAACTTGTAACTTTTTGCTTATGAGATGAGCGCTCTACCACTACACCACTACCGCATAAGCTTTTAATACTGTGTGCATTTTACTTATTTAAAAATATATGCATTGTAAGGAATACGTATGTACATATATTAAAAATATTCAGTAAGAATATTTTTAAAGTTTAGTCTTACATTTGTTAATTTTGAATACTTCATATTATAAATTTTATCATTATTGGTTACTGTTTTAGTATGTTTTCAAAACAATATAAGATAAGGATTTATAATAACTAATAATGATTTTATAAAAATATTTTTAATTATACAAATCTTTGAGTCTCAGAATTCCAGCATTGCAAGACTTCAGACACCAGTCATTTCATTCTTGTTTGAATGCTTTAAAAAAAATCTGCTTTTCTCCTGTTTTTCATCAATATTTAGTTAATAACACAATTTAATGTTTTTTGTAATATTTATGTTTAAATAGAATTTGAATCTTTCAAGTAGAGAAGCTTCACCGGATAGCACAAAGAAAAATTTGTTAAAATACCAAGGTAATTCTTCTATTACATTCTCTATATCTTCTATATTGTCATATAAATAAAAAATGTTTTCTTTGTTTATTGTAAAAACATTACTAAACTGTTATTTGTGGTCTTCGAAGTAACCTTCCATCAGTTGAATCTTATCTCTTTCAAAACTCACCTGGCTCGCTTGCTTTCTGTTAAATTGATTTAAATTGGGCTGTTTCTTCTTCAGATTTTAGTATTATTGGGTACTATTCTTTGATTTGCGAAGACTCCAATAATCACATGCTTGACTTGGGGTATACTTACGCATCAACTCACTTATTTGTTGAGATATCAGGCTTGAATCTTTTGATCATTTTTGATTATGTGCTTCTGCTTAGCATCTCTTCACTCCATCACCTTTCTCTTTGTTCTTTATCATTCTCCTTCTCAAGCCTGCACTCTTTTAGATGTAATTCCTAATTGACCATTTCTTTAAGGTATATCTTGGTGTATTAAAGTCTTCTTTATTTCCAGTAACTTCTGGGGTACCTTCTATTCTTGGTCCTATTTTGTTTTGTATTTACATTAATGATTTTCTTGACAACCTTACATTTAAAGTGACTCTATTTGTTGATGACTTGAAGAAAAGAAGAAAAAGAAAAAAAAATTGAATTTAGATTTATCTAACTATTTAGAATCAGAAACATAGTATCAGTTTTATTTAAAAGAATTAGTTGAATAATAATATGATTGATATCATCATCATCATTTTGAATTTTGTGTTTCTGCGTTAATTGAAGTTGACTGTTTCCCATAATGCAGAAGTTTCATTATTTCTGATTTTATGCATCATTTGCTCAACTTCCATATCTTGCATTACCGTAGGCTTTTTTTTTATGTCAAATATTTTTACTCTTTTCAAATTTTACTAAGCATTTTCTTCTAAAAATTCGCTACCCAAATGATAACCAATTATATACATCTTTACACTGTATATGTGTAAATTTATTTTTTTTCTTTAATCTTTTTTGCTTACTCAGACACTTATTCAAGAATTCTTCTTAAGTACTACCCATCTGATCATTTCTTATTCCAGACTTTCACAGCAATATATCATAAAACACTACGTATATCTGTGATAGATTTTTTATTTAATCATTAGCGATGCACCTGTTGCTGTTAGAGATTAAGGTATGGTGCAGTTGTATGGTATACCGTATGTGTATGTTGTAACCAACTAATGTACTAACGTGCTTAATTTGCTCTTAATGTCTTGTATACTTCATTCTAATGAAGTCTAATCATATAATACCAACACATTTTATCTTACTAACAAAATCTTTTTATTTCTCCGTTCGCTTATAATACATTTTCTACCATTATGTTTTACATGGCCACTCTCCAGAATTTTTTTTTACTAGTTTTTAACTCTATAATACATAATTTTTGTTTTATTTATATTAATAATTTTTTTAACTCTTACAATCATCTTTATCTGTTGTAATTATTTGCATAGAACTCTTATGGCCAATACTTGCAAGCGCTTTACAATGGTAAAAATAGTATATGATATAGTTGCATTTTAGATTCTGAATCCACATTATGCTTTCCTCCACGAGATCCTTTGGGTTTTGGTCTTGATGTTTTTGATTTTGAAGATGAACTTTATGATGGCATTGAGCCTATCCAAAATTACTCATTTTTACCATTAGTAACATGGTCTGTTAACCAAGTTTCGGACTATATAAGGTATGAGTTTTCAATTGCTTTATAAACCTGTTATTTAAAAATTCCTGATTGATTTAAAAAGGCTGTATGAAAAACTCAATCAGGGTGCATGAAAGACCCAATCAGGGTGTATGGTAATATAATTGTAAGTTAATCTATCAAAGTATTTGAAACAATGAATTTATTTTAATTAAATTTTGAATTTAAAAAAATAAATTAACATAAATTTGATTTAAATTTGAAGGTTAAAATAATCTGAATGCAACCAAATTTATTTAATAATGAATTTATTAGAGATTTTTAGGCTGTTCAACTAGCAATAATTGTTTTTCTTACTGATTTGTAACAATATTATTCATAACAACACAATATGCAATAATAATTTGTTTATTTTTCTTGTGGATTTTTTAATTTTTTTAAATGAGTTGCTTTAGATGATGGAAGATTATTTTTGGAAATGATAAAAGCATTGTCTTAGAAAATGACTGGATATTTGCTTTATAAAATGATGGGGTAATTACTTTTAAAAATGATGGGATAATTGCTTTAGAAAATGATGGGAACATTGTCTTCTAAAATTATGGAATAATTAATTGATAAAATATTGGGATAATTGCTTTATAAAATGATGGAATAATTACTTTAGAAAATGACAGGATCAGTAGCCTCCCTAGGGGGGTGCAGGCTGCACCGGGTGACACCATCACAATCTAACACAGAGGGGTGCAATGCAAATGCAACAGTTGGGGATGTATGGTTGTATGACAGTGCCATTGCTAGGGTTGCTGACTCCAACTCCAGCAGCGTCACTGGATAGTATTATTGTTTTAGAAAATGAAGAAATAATTTTAGAAAATGATACAATAGTTATTTTAGAAAATAAGTTTTTAAAAAATGATGGGTCAGTTTTAAAAATTATGGGTAATTGCTTTAGAAAATGATGGGATAATTGTTTAAGAAAATGATGAAATAATTAAAAAAATTCTTATTATAACTATCAACTTTTTATTATTTGTAGTTTAGAACCTGTACAAATTGCACAGTTTCTCAGAATTATACTTTTATAATTTATTCTAAAGAAACTCAGTAAATGCAGCATGTTTGATACTTTGTTAAATAGTATATTTTATAATTTTATATTTTATATCCTCTACCTTCAGGAATTGTATTTTCCTGACATCATCATGACTTACTTGATAATTGCAGTAAAAGTTTCATTTTTGCAATATATCTTAATTTTTGTTATTCTTAATTTTTGTTATTCTTTATTTATATCTAATTCTTCTTACATATAAATTTGGAGTATTTGTATCTAATTCTTCTTACATATAAATTTGGAGTATTTATATCTAATTCCTCTTACATATAAATTTGGAGTGTTTATATCTAATTCTTCTTACATGTAATTCAATTCGTTTTCTTTTACATTTAACCAAATTTATTTACTGTTTATTTATTTTAACTTTATAATTCTAATTTTGAATTATAGAATTTTGACATCTTTTTATCTTCAACGTCTTTTACTGCAAAAGCAATGTAATTGTCGAAGACTTTGACACTCTGGTTTTTGAAATTTTATTTCAATTATTTGCTCCTGAATTCCATAAGAAGTAATAAGTAATTATCTTCTTTTTTTGTTTTACTATAATCATACAAATCTAATAGATGTAAAAAAATGAAATGCTAAATTTGTTGTTATAGCTCAAAAATTAGAGCATTGTGTGCATCCAATAAATATTCATCCAATAAATATTCAACAGTAAGCAAATGCTTTCAACAAACAATTTTCTAAATCTAACTATAAATAAACAATGCTTTATACTCAATGCAGAATGTTTTCTATTCATGCATGGCTTTTTATTTTTTGTAAATACAATTTATTTCAAAAACACTCTTCTTTTTTTTTTTTTTTTGAAGTATTTTTAAATTTCTTGAACATTCTGGAACTTCTAGAATTAACTAGGCTGCTATTTAACTATTTTTTGTTAAATGTTTATTTAAAAATGATTTACTTTAAAATTTATCATATATTAAATTTGTCCATAGTTCGTCAGCTAACCTATAGAAAAGTTAATTTTCTAACTAAAGATCCTAGTTTGCCAACGTTAAAGGATGTATGGTATAGGGGAGTTGAGGGTATAGTGTCCCTCTATGCATTTACATGCCACTCCTTATACTGAGTCTTCAAAAAACAGGTTATAGAAGTGCCGTGGTCAAAGGATTAAAAAAAAAAAACTAAAATTTTTCTGCTAGGTAATGTTAAAAAAACAAATAAAAAGCTCCTTAAATTTGCAAAAGGGCTCCTAAATTTGTAGTAGCTTAGCCTTGGCTCTGAGTTTTAAGCTTTGTTTTCAATATTACTCAATATATACATAGGTGATGGCGGGATGCCATCTCGTCACCTATGTATATATATATATATGTATATATATATATATATATATATATATATATATATATATATATATATATATATATCTGTGTGTGTGTATATATATATATATATGTGTGTATATATATGTGTGTGTATTTCATTACTTCGGGCACTGTATTGGTGGGTATTTCAAAAGCGTACGTACTTTTTTTTTAGGAGGGGAGTGTGGGTTAGAAGTACGCATAGCGACAGGAGGGATGGGTGGTCAAATTTCTAAACTTTTGGCGTACGTAGTTTATGAACGACCTTCAAGTAAAACAATTTTCTACATATTTAGTAAAGTAATGTAATTTCTTTTAGCACGATTCCCGGATGCGCTCAATACGTGCCAGTTTTTGAAGCTGAAGAGATTGACGGTCAGGCATTATTGTTATTAAAGGTAGAGCATATGGTTCACGGTATGAATATCAAGGTTGGACCTGCTATTAAAATTGCTGCCACTATACGTTCAATCAAGTTAAAGTATGGAATTAAAACTAGATCGAAGTATTTAAGTTCACCATAGTTTTAAGATCGCCATAGCTTTGCGCAAGCTCTAATGCTTCAGTTTTAATCAACAACGGTGTCTTTCGTGATATATAGGAGGAACAAGATTCAAATATCTTTGTTTTGATTGAAAACTTCTTGGCTGCTATTGGATTGCTCATAGAATATTGATTTTAATGGAAGTTTAGATATTAAATTTCATAAAGTTCGAAAATACATGTAGTGAATAGACAACAGAAAGTGCAACAGAGTATGTTAAAATGCGTAATGCACTGGTGAATATTTTTCGAGTTTATTATTCATTGTTGCAAATAAGAGGTTCACTAAATTTGACTTGCTACTGAATTTATGGTTAAAGTCTAAAAACTGCTACAAGAGCATTTTTTTTTACTTGCAACCAAATTGAGCGATGTTGACCAGTTAACCATTAAGATTCTTTTAATCCACTGACATTTTGAACTACAAATGTAATTTCTTATTTTGTAGTTTGAGTTAGTATTAACTAGCCTTAGTGAAAAAATCCTGAAAGATATTACATAAAAATCTTTAAGGACTGTTTTATATGATATTAGAACAAGTTATGTTTAGGATAAATGCAATAGGACGTGGCATATATGGTTAACTATACGTTGATTCCTAGAGGAGTTTTATACAATCTTGCTCAAAAGTATTATAGTCTAATGTAATTTTATATTGAAATTTTAACAAATATTTAAAATGTACAGTTAGCAATTAAATGTAATAAGTATTTATATATATGAATGTTATAAAAAAATTAAAATAAAAATTTTTTTTTTTGGGCATATTTGAAAATAACCTTATGATCAAAGTTTAATTGGTTATATAAATTTTGCTCATTGCGTTGCATAAATGCGTTATATATCGCATAAATAGGTAATGCTAGAGAGGAGATTGAGGCACCAATGATACACTTTTAGCTTTTGCTTCGTAACAAATTTTTGTTAAATCCAAATACACTAAAAATTATATGAGGAAGACTTTTATCGTAGAACCCAAACTGTCAAAGACGCGCTGCCGCTCTCGAACCATACTTTAGAAAACTTGACTTTTTTATTTTTGATAAAACCCTTTTTCACATATCTGGTAGAGTTTAAAAGCAAAATTTGAAGTCTCAAAAAATCAAATACTGTGAAAGAATACCATCAGCACAGTCTGAGAGTCGACATTTAGTGCGCTATGTCTTCAAACTACGTCGTAGGACCATACTTTTTTGAAAAACCAACTATCAACGGCTAAAACTACATCTAGATGCTTAAATAATTTTTTCATCCAGTATTGGTTTATAGGGTAACTACCCTCAAATTTCAAAACAAAACATATAAAGTAACTTTCTTTAGTCATATAGTAAATATTATACTGACATTAAAAATATTAAAAAATACATAAATTGTGGCTCGTTGCTATGGCAACCCAAAAAATAGTTGAAAATACCACAAAAACTGTGTTTACGCCGTAAAAAAAATAAGAACTATGAGTAGAGGAGTGTCGATGAAATTTTGTAGAACTGTTCTAAATATGTAAATTTGTGATATGAGCAAAGCAGATTTTTGAATATTTTTTTTTTTAATTTTGATAAAAAGCTAGAGACAAATTAAGTTATTAAAAAAAGGTCAAAATACAAAAAAAAAAAAAACTAAATAACTCAAAATCTTAAGTCATATGAGAAATACTGCTCCGCTCATATCATAAACATTGGTAAAATGAACAATTCTTGAAAATTTCATCGTGAAAGCATCTATACTTTAAAATATTTTTTTCCCAGCCTATTTAAAAATTAAATTCTCAGAAAACGCATAATAAAAATAGAATCATAAATTATTGTTCATTTCATAAAAATATCTTCAAAAAAATAACTTTTTAAAAGAATATTTCAAAAACTACCAGATTCATAAATTCCTTGTTTTTTTCTATTGACTTTCGAAAATCGTTGACGCTGTAACATCTTTTCGTTTATATATTTCGTTGATACTTGCCGTTACATTTTCTAAAATTCAAAAATTAATGACTGAGATTAAAGAACAAAATAGAGCCTATATTAAAAATTGTTTTTTAATTGAATAATAAATGATGACAAATTAAAATTGAGTGAGTGACAGTGGTCTACATGTACAGTGAGTTTTTTATTAAATTATAATAAACATTTCTGTTATTGATTGATAAAAATGTTTCTCCGCAAAAACGTTTTTTATTTTATTTAATTTTAAATCAGGCATGAATTTTTGTAGTCATTAACAATGCTGGAATTTACACAGTTAGAAACTCCTGTGCCCACTTTTATTTACTAAAGTTTAATGGCTCTTAAATCTAGCTAGTAAATAGCTAGCTAGTAAAAAGCTAGCTTTATTAACTTTATTTATATTTTTGAGCAACTTTTTTTATCACATTATTGTTTCATTTTGCGTTTTACGTCATAAAAATTAAAAATATATTGAATCTAATATATTTACAGTGCCGTGCCTAGAGCCCCCCAAACCCCAGGGGGGTTTGGGGGGGTCCGTGAATTTAAAGGGGCCCTTCTATGCAGTATGCAAATTTTTTTTTTGAGATGATAACTAAATTAAAATTATGATATAAGTGTTTTTTTTTTTAATATAATGTTAAAACCTATTAACGTTTTCTAATTTTTTAAAATTCTTTTAACCTAACGAAAAGGACGTTTTAAATTAGTTAAACTTTTGTTTAGAATGTTTCGCTTTTGTTTATGCTAAACCTATTGAGAAATATGCTATTGTATTGCTAAGTTAATCATACTTAATTTTAGTTAAACTTTTGTATACAAAACTCCAAATTATTATTTGATTCACATTTTTCAAACTCTAGTTTTTCACGGGTTTTTTAATTGTATTTAGTAGCAAGGATTTATTTGTATTTAGATACAAGGATTTTAATTGTATTGTATTTGTAGAAACGATTCCAGTTGTCTACATAAAAACACTTTTAAGTAAGCAGAAATTAATTTGTTTATATAGTTTGTAAATAATATATAAGCTACATTTTAGCAGTTAAGTTTTATCAGCAATGGATGATACTTTTTCATTACTAGATTATAACATTAATAAGAATATATTTTTTACATAATATTTAAATGGATTTCCTAATGCACATTCTTTTCCAATAACATAAGAATTTATTATAAAAATTTTGTAAAAAGAATGTAAAATTATCTGTTGTTAACATTGTGTTAAGTATCTAAAAATACTTGTGCATAATTTGCACGCGCATACAAGTGTGCATGCAAAGTGCATACAAAAAAAATATTTTTTTCTTTTTAAACCTAAACCTTATTTATAATAATATATAGTTTTTATAGATTTTTATAGAGTATACATTTAAAATATTGTATTACAGTCTAATACTATGAATAAAAATCATGTAAATCTATTTTTCATTTTAGATAATGAAGCCTTCAAAGTCAGGTGCAACTAAAAGAAAAGAGGCAGCAGCAACAAAAGATGCAATTAGCAAACTTCCCAAAGTTACATCATTTTTTACACCTATTCCAAGTAATTGCACCAGCAATGAAAAAAATTGCTCTAATGAAGTGGTCATTCATGAACAGTTAGATAATGCGAATAACCAACCTAACACAATAGAAAAGTTGTACACTTTACCATTGCCACCGTTTAGTTCCGTTGCTTGTGACCCAGCCAGCTGGCCTGAACAAATTTCTGATGCTCAACGATGTGACCTAGTCAAACGTGGTCCTCAACAGGTTGATATTGACTTTCCATACAATATTGCTGCAAGGCGTCGACTTTCAACGGTTCATTACAAGCGTGTGATGAATAATGGAGAAACTGTGCCTCGCTCATGGCTTGTGTATTCGGTAAAATCTGACAAGATTTTTTGTTATTGCTGTAAACTTTTTGAAACAAATGAAAGTCCGTTTCGTAGTGGTACTAGTACATGGGAGGGACTATCAAAGAAGTTAAAAGACCATGAAACAGGAACATCCCATCAAAAGTGTTTTAGACAATGGATGCAGCTTAAAGAGGGTATCAATAATGATTCATCCATAGATAAACAAGAAATGCAGCTTTTTCTTAAAGAAAGGCAATTTTGGAGGGATGTCCTGGAGCGTCTTATTGACATTATAAAGTTCCTGTCAGAAAGAAATTTAGCATTTAGAGGTTCCGAAGAAGTACTTGGCTCACCACACAATGGAAACTTTTTGGGTCTGTTTGAGCTATTAGCAAAAAGAGATCCTGTACTGAACGAGCTACAGAAAAGGATTGAAAAAAAACAAAACACATGATCACTACCTCAGAAACAAAATCCAGAATGAGTTAATTTAACTTATTGCAAAAGAAGTAGAAAAAGAAAACCTGAAAAAACTAATGATATCTAAGTACTATGCGATAATTCTGGATTGTACTCTGGATGTTTCTAACCAAGAACAGTTAACAGTCATTTTGCGTTTTGTTGAGTGTGATACAGGTAATGAAGTCACAATAAAAGAAGCTTTTTTTGGATACCTTCAAGTTAGTGACAGCTCAGGAAAAGGGCTTTTTGATACATTTTTAGAGCGAGCAAAGGAGTTAAAATTGAATATGTTAGACTGTCGGGGCTAGTCGTATGATAATGGTTCTAAAATGAAAGGGAAGAATTCTGGTGTTCAGCCACGAATTCTACCAACAAATCCGAAAGCTCTGTATGTGCCTTGTGCTAATCACTGCTTGAATTTAGTTGTGGTTGACAGTGCCAAGTCGTCAGCTAGGGCTTTATCATTCTCTGGTGTTCTGTCCAGATTGTACACCATATTTCCATCATCCACACAGCGCTGGAGCATTTTGAAAGAACATGTGGAGATTGCTGTTAAAAATCAATCGGACACTCGATGGGAAAGTCGAATTAACTGTATTAAACCTCTGCGGTATTATTTTGGCAATGTTTTAATTGCACTGGAAAAACTGGAGGAGTATGCAATAGAAAAAAAAGATAGAAAAACAGCTACGGAGGCTCGGCCATTGATAACATATATTTCAGACTGGGCATTTCTTTTGTCTATTTTTATCTGGTATGACATTTTATTCCAAGTAAATAAAACAAGCAAGCTCATTCAATCCTTTGGTATTTCTCTAGATGTTATGGAAAATGAAATCAGAGCAACTGAGGCATTTTTAGAGAAGCATCGAGAAAATGGATTCTCAAGTGCTGAGACCACAGCCCGTGAAATTGCAGAAGAACTAAATATTCCAAGAAGTTTCCCATCAATTCGCAACAATAGGAAGAAAAAATTGTTTGATTATGAAGGAGACGACGAAAGCGGTAGTCAAACGCCCCAATCACAATTCAAAACTGACTTTTTTTTTTGTGCTTGTGGACCAAGCTTTACAATCTGTACGGGAGCGTTTCCAACAAACACATGATGTGGCTGCTGTATTTTCATTTCTGTTCAATCAGAAAAGTCTTTTTCAAGCATACAAAGACAACACCCTTTTGCTGAAGTGCCAGAATTTTCACAATAAAATGGGTGATATAGATCCGTTTGAAATGGAGATGGAATTAAAGCAATTTATTCATCTAGTTTTAGAAAACGATGAAAAGCTAAAAACTGCAATACATTTTCTGAATTATATCAACAGCAAATGTCTCCAGGAGGTGTATCCTAATGTCGCTATCACACTCCGTGTTTTGTTGACTTGCCCTGTGACAGCAGCAACTGCTGAAAGAAGCTTCAGTAAATTAAAACTTATCAAAAATTTCCATCGCTCAACAATGATGCAAGATCGGCTGTCTTCTCTAGCCATGCTTTCAATAGAAAGTGACTGTGCCCGGAAGATAAACTGTGACCACCTTATTGAGGTCTTTGCAGACTCAAAAGTTCGTCGAAAGCATTTAGTTGAGCCTCATTGAATAACACTTTGTAAATAAAGTTTTGTAGCAAGCAGTTAAAAAAAATCAAGTTTCTATATCTTTTTTATTAATAGTTTGTTTTTAGGTGCTCCAAGAAGTTTTTCACAGAGCACAGTGGAAAAGCATTTATTAAGAAGTTCACGCCTCCTTCCTAACTGTTGTAGAAATCTTGTCCAGAGGGTGTTTTGAAACCCGGATCTCTTGAGTCGACTCGATTAGAAAGACAAGCACTCTACCTCTTGAGTTAAACGGCTTTAAAATTATCTGATCATGCATGTGGAATGAGTAATACCAACATGTTCTGTCTTTTATCTCAACTTTTTAATGGGGCCCAAAGCCCACTTTTTTTTTTGGGGGGGGGGGCCACAAGCTGTCTGGCACGGCACTGTATATTTATGAAAATAATTGAGCTTACAAGCTTACAACACAACAATTTTTTTACAATATGTCGCTATCTGAATATAATAGATTTTGAGCTACCGATAATACTACAATATATGCTACATATCGTAGCACTGTAGCGAGCTACAACCTAACGACAAATCCGTAGCTAATTGATGTCTAGATATCGCAGTTTTGTAGCTTGCGATATATCGATATTTAATACGATATATATATCGTATTACATTGGTATTTTATTTGTATTTATAATACGATTGGTTAGGAAAGATTCAATAATCTTAAAGATGTTACCTGATACACTGTAAGATGAGATCTTATGGACAAGACAATGGTATTATCTGTAGCTATTGATAGATCAATAGCTACAGATCGTGGATATCGTAAAACGTGTAAAGCTTGAACCCCCATTAATTTAAGGGTGTTACAATTTTACAAGGGGGTAATAATTTTTGAATGCACAAAGATTATTCTTATAATTAATTTAATTCTTTTGATGAGCTACACTGATAGTTTTATACTAAATTTGGCTAATAGAGTAAATTTAAAATGGAATGAGCATAATCCAGCTTCTGTATGTAAAGTGATTTTCTGCTTAGACTCTTCTACAACTTGTGGATTGGACAACATACCTGTTATAGTCTTGCAGAAGTGTTTTCCGAAGGTGTCGTCTATATTCTCAAAACTATTTAACATAGCTTTGTTTCCCAGCCTGCTATCATATAGGCATCTGTTGTCCCTATTTTTTGAGTCTTTTATTAACAAACATGTAATCTCTCATCTTGAATCTAATATATTTTTGATCATCAATATGGATTTCGATCTTCTCGTTCTACTGCTGATTTTTTAAGGGTAATAATTGATAAGTTTTATCGTGTGTTAGATAGATACGGAGAGAGTAAGGCTCTCAAGTTTATAAAGCTTTTGATAAAGTTTTGCAAGCTGGTCTTCTCCATAAACTTTCTTCTTACGGTGTATCTGGTAACATCTTTAAGATTATTAAATCTTTCCTAACCAACTGTATTATAAAATTTGAAGCAATTTTTTAAGTCGTCTCTTAATCTTTATCTGGTATCTTTTTTCTTCTAGTAACTCCAACTCTAATAGTGGTTGCTTGCAGCCTTGCTGGAAGCGCACATGTTTAAAAAAATAATTATATATTTGAAATGGGACAGGCTTAATATATTGGAAATAAATTATCTTTGATAAAACTTATAATTTGTTTGACTTTCAAGTAAAAACATGTTAAAAATAAGTTAAAATAATATTAGTAATGATAAAAAATAATAATAATAGTAATAATAATATAAAGTATAAATATTAAATAAATTTAAAAAAATAATAATAAATAAAAAAGTAGGTATAATATCAATTAATCAAATATTTTAATAATCCATCACCAAACTTTAAAAATCATACAGAATTTGTATAAAGTTAGCAAAACTCAATCAACCAATTAGCAGTAGTGCAAATCGAGTTAAGACAAAATCAATAGGTATAACGATATACACTAAACGGGAACCCTACAAATTAATCGCAAAAATTTTCCAGTCGTTGAATGATACATTGACAAATAAAATTATGTGAATTTGTAACTCAGTGGCAAGCTAAAAATACTAGTTAAAGCTGATTTTAACAAGTTTGCAAAAAATAAATGATATTCTTGTAACTTATTATAATTTATTATATTTTAACATTTTTAATTATTTAAATGTAAATAATTTTTATTATTATAACTTACATTTTAATATCAAATATATTAATAACTACGTTTAACAAAAATCATTTTGCTCATTTCAAAAATAGTTAAAAGTTGTTTTTTTCATTCTAAAATTTATTTAAAATCTAAATCTTATTATTATTTTTTAAAAAAATATAATATACAATCTTGTTTACTCATAGACCATTGTAGTAGTAGTAGTAGTAGTAGTAGTAGTAGTAGTAGTAGTAGTAGTAGTAGTAGTAGTAGTAGTAGTAGTAGTAGTAGTAGTAGTAGTAGTAGTAGTAGTAGTAGTAGTAGTAGTAGTAGTAGTAGTAGAAAAATTACTGCAACAGGTTTCCCTGTATAACCTACAGGTTTTGGCAGCCTTATCTACTTCATACTCTAATTTTATTCATATCAATATTTAAAAATTTGCAATAAGATATGTAGTATGAAGTATAAATTTATACTTTATTATTTTTTCCTTTTTTTTTTTTTTAGTTATAATCTCGATACTTATGCGGATTATTTGAAATTTCTGCATCATGCTTAGCCTTGAAACTGTTAACTGATGAAGCGCATACAACTTCTGACGGCAATGCATTCCAATGATACACTATTCGGTTAGTAAAAAACTCGTGCCTTTGCTCGCAATTTTGAACATATTCTCTAGTCATTTTTAGATGATTTTCTCTAGTTTTTATTTTATTTGACTCCCCAACACGAAGGACATGGGGTTCACTCAATGAGACAATGTCTATATTGTTAATAATTTTATAGGCCTGTATCAGATCTCCCCTAATGCGACGGGTTTCTAAAGACGTTAAGTTCAGTATATTCACACGATCTTTGTATGACATATGACGGTACAAAGGTACTAAACGGGTAGCTCTTCTTTGTACTTTCTCGATTTTGTCAGTATCTATTCTTGATGATGGATTACTGGCTGCTACCGCAAATTTCAGATGAGGTCGTACAAAGGTTGTATATAGAATTTTAAGTAGTTGCGGAGTCATGTGGCTGAAAGTACAATACAATATGCCTAATACACGGTTGACTTTATTGGTAGCAAAAGTTAAATTGTTATGCCATTTTAAGTCTGGCGTAATCATGATGCCTAAATCACGTTCGACTAAAGTCGATACAAGTTCGACACTGTTATTGTTATTAGCTGGCATTGAGTAGACATAAAAGTTATTTTTTTACCTATCTGCATGATTTTATATTTATCGAGATTAAGTTTTATTTTCCAGGTTTTACACCAATCGGCTATGTTGTAGTTATCAGTTTGAAGCATTTGTAAAGCTAATGGGTGGTCTAAACGGGCCAGCAGTTTAGTGTTATTAGCATACATTTAACATGGATGGTTAACAATATCGGATATATTGCTCACAAAAATGATAAAAAATATTGGACCTAATACGGATCCTTGAGGGACGCCACTAAATACCTTAAGCCACAAGGAAACATAATCGCCCATGACGATTCATTGAAAATGCTGGTGTAAAAACAATTTTTTCTAATTCAGGAGATTTCCAGTAAAACCATATGCCTCAAGTTTGTAAATTAGTTTCTTGTGGGGAACCATATTGAATGCTTTACTGAAATCTATAAAAGCTACGTCCATAGATATCTTGTCAGATAATGCTTTTGACATAATGTCAATCGACTCCAACAAATTAGTCACACAAGCTTTTTTATTGATAAAATCATGTTGATTTTTTGAAATAAGGCTATGTTCGACTAAATGATTGATGATAGTGTCATGTAATATTTTCTCCATCACTTTACATACAACTGATGTTAAGGATATAGGCCGGTAATTGCCTGGGTCGAGTCTACTTTCGTTTTTAAACAGTGGTGTTACATTAGCTATTTTCCATACTTTAGGACAACACCCATTATCTAGCGACTTCTGAAAAATTGCGCTTAAAGGTATTGGGAAGCTGTCAGAACAGTTCTTCAGTACATATGCGCTTACACCATCCAAACCAACGGTTTTGTCAACTGATAAATTGCTCAGCTTGTTTTTAACCAGATCTTGCGTTATTTGTGAGTGTTTGCAGATGGCTTCAGTTCGTTTTATAAAATATGGCAGTTCATCGTTTTCATTTTTGTTGAAAATACGTTGAAAGTGATTGTTCAGCCGATTTGCAATTTCTATTGGATTTGTGATAGTGTCGCCATTGATTCCTTTTAAGGCTGTTATTGTAGTTCTAACATTTTGTTTGCTATTAATATACTTGAACAGTGTTTTTGGGTTGTGCTTTGATTTTATTGCTAAATCAAGCTCACACTCACAACGAGCTTTATATATGAGCTTCTTCAATTGAATATTACACACTTTGTATTCGTTGACAAATTTAAGATTTTTATATCCATTCGCTCTACATCGAAACCATAGTTTATTTTTAGCTTTTATTTTATTCTTGATGTCATCATTCATCCATTCGCTTCTACGACAAATCCATTTTAAGTTAGTCACTAGGACATAAGTTTTGCATGCAGCCTCGTAGTGGTTCAGTAAAATATTATAACAGTCATCAGTATTGTGTCCATTGAATTCCATCTGCCAGTTGATATTGTTAAAATATTCAAATATCTTTACAAAGTTACTTTTATAATACATGCGTCTTTCAATGTGTTTTCCTACAACTGCAGCGCTTTTAACAACGTAATCTCATTGAAGGACGTGGTGAGATTTCTTCAGAGACGTTAAAGGTGCATGGTGAATAATATCGAGGACCCGATTTTCATTTTCGGCTATAATTAGATCAAGAGTATTGTTCGATGTAATTTCATCAAGTTGAAAAGTGGGCTTAGTAACAAATTGTATCAAAAACGACTCGGCGAGGATGTCAATAAAATTACATGAAAGGGTATCTGTGTTGCTGACAGTTGGGATATTGCTCAAATCCCAGTTAATCCCTGGCAAATTAAAGTTTCCACAAATCAACAAGCTAGTGTCTGTTGTCTCAACTATAATAGGTGGAGGTTTATTCGGATCTTTTGACCGTAAGCGAAAACATTTTATTATATTGTCCGAACTAATTTTAACGTTGGTTAGAAGCTCTTTTATTTTGTTCTCATCGTCTACTTGCTTCTCATTAGGTTCTTTTTTAGTCGTTGCTGAAATGCCAAAGACGATAAGATTTTTGCCACGCTTCATTCTATCTTTGCTCTCATTAGCTACACAATTAAGCATATCTAGTTGCGCTGGCGTTTTAGTTGATTTTTTTCCGACCACAACGTTCCATGATTCCGTTGAAATTGAGGAAGCAATGGGTTTTTCCTCAAGTTATTGGATTCGCTTTGAGAGGGCGATGATCGTCGATGTTTGTTCAACAACTGTTTTTGACAATGCTTCAACTTGCTTTAGAGGCGTCTCGTACTTGTTATTCAACTCAGAATTGTCGGCTTTTGGAGACATATAGGGTGAATATGTTTAAACAACAGTATATATAGTTTATATAATATTTGTATAATATTGTTTTATCATTTGCTTAGGATGACTAGAGCGTGAGTTATTTTTCACCCTTTCCCTGAGTCCTAAAGTTTTATTCCTCCTACAAAATAGTCTGATGCTTTGCAAAAAGCTATATATATATATATATATATATATATATATATATATATATATATATATATATATATATATATATATCAGACTATTATATAATGAACTATTTTGTTTAGATCTTAATAATATTAAGATCTAAACAAAATAGTTTAGATCTTAATATTATTTTAAGAAAGTTTTATCAATTTTAAAAAAAAAGAAAAAAAAACTCGTGTTAACTCAAGTTAAGATAAAATAAATATATATTTTGTTAGATCTTAAGCTCATGAGTTTTAAAACTTTTTTAAAAAACGCAATATGTATAATTTTTATTAGAAATGGTTGAATGATTGAGGCTGCCTGCTATGAACGCTTACATCCCTACTTTCTAAAGACAGTATATAATCTCCCATTTATTTTCTCCATTATAATCTCCATTACGACTGCGTGTGACATGCATCAATCTGTTTTTTTTTTTAGTATAAAATTTAAAATTTAAAAATTAATATTAATTTAAAAATAGTAAAAAAAAAAAATTAATTAACTTGTTGCTCTCATGTTTAGGGCAGGAGTGTCGAAAATTTTGGGGCTTTTTTGTTTCCAGGTTCCTATAATCGTAGCTTTTTGCAAAGCATCCTTAAGTATAGAAATAATTAAATACAGGCATATTTATAAATATACTATACATAACTATAACTATTATTTATAATTTTGTAATATATAATATTATAGCATAATATTATAAATTATATTAATCATAACTATTTGATATAACTATCAATATAACAATTTAAAATAAGTATAAAAATTTAAATATAATTATATTTTTAATATATTCTATAATATTTTATACTTATTTGTATATATGACTTCATGCCGTACCGTAGGGGAATAGGGAGGGGGTTTGTCAGGTGCGATCGACTCCCCATTTTTAGTTAGCTATCTCAAACACCAAAAAATGTCTGAATCCGCCTCTAGTGGAAACACTCAGTATAATACTGACATCATTAATTGCACGCGCTTAGTTTAACAATTACACTTATTATAATTTTTATAATAACAATATTTAGTTTAAAATTGCATTTAATTTATAATAATTTTTGTATAATTATAGTACCAAACTTGTATTTTGTCTCATTTGGATTATTATTCTTAAAAAATTACAATCAAATATAAACAACTCAGCTATTTTAGCTTGAAGATGTGTTTGAACTTGATTGTAATTAAAGCTTTTTTTCTTTCTATAGTAACTATTTAACTAAAACCAAAGAGTTTTACAATCAGTCAATCAATCAAATCTTTCAAACTTAATTTTAAATAAAATTGTCTTTTTAAATACAAAGTTTGTTGTTTTGGCACTGAAAAAGTTAAAAGTAAGTAATAAAATCAAAAGAAATTAGAGCGAGAATCTCAATCAAGCATTTTTATAAAAGCGATTGAGTTGAAATTACTAACTCTCAGAAATGAGAATCAGATTACACGGAAAATAAAGACAAAACCTCCAAATAAAGGCAAAATAGGAGTCTATCAAATTAAGTTTTTCTAAATATCTCTTTGAAAAAGCAAAAATTTTAAATTTTATTTAGGTCCCCCAAGAGGTCCTTACGGTCTTATCACAGAGCACCGCGGATGAGCATTTGATTGGAAGTCCACGCCTCCTTCCTAACCGATGTTGCAAAACCTGCCCAGAGGTAGGGTTTGAACCACGGATCCTTTGAGGTTACTGAGGCAGGTGCGCAACAACTGAACCAAATTGTTGCAGTTCAACTGCTAGAATGGATAATATCCACCATCCGAAAAGTTGATATTGATGATTGAAATCTCAAAAGTGTTATGGATCCAAACGATATAATTGCAGTATCAAATGTTAATATCCATCCAACTAAAACAATTGATGTATCCGAAGTTATCAATCAAACAAAAAAATTTAAACAACAAAAGTTAGTACTGATTTAACTAAAACGATTGAAACCTCAGATTCTATTGAGACTATTAAAACAACAGAAGTTTATATTGATACTATCCAGACGATTGAAAAAACTTCATTTGGTTCTGCCGCAATCATTGAACCTAATATAAATTCAAAGATATCAGCTAACATTTCTCCACAACTTTGCACAGCTATATCCTTAGATTTCATTTTAACTTGCAAGCCTTCAGCAATTTGTGCTTTAAAGGCAGTTCTGATAAGAAAATTGTGACATTGTTTTAGTCTTCAAGTAGGATATTGCTTGGATCTTCGAACGACATCAGTTCTGTATTTAAACTAAAACTATATTGGGTTTAATAAAAAAACGAAAAAAAAAATGACAGCTTTAAAAAATTAGTTATTTCATGAAATTGTATTAACATTTTTTTTAAAAAAACAAAACAAAAAAAGCAACGAACACTTTTTTCTTTCATTTTTTTTGTACCCACTACATCAATATTGGTCTAGATAAGTGTATGGTCATTTTTACCAAGTGTTGAATTAAAAATGATGCCGCAACAACAATTTTAGTCAATGGTAATCCGTTGAACAAAAGTTAATACTCTTCTAAAAAGTTAAACTTCGTTTCAAGATCAACATCTAAGTTAACTGCAAAAGAGTTCAGTTTTTGGACTCGATACTTTATCAAGTTTGACGTACTTTTAATGTACTCTGAATTTAAATTATTTCAAAGTTTTCCGATTTCCAACACTACATTTCTCCGCACTGTGTGATGACAACAGATAATTTAGGTCGATTATTCGCACCAGTTGCAACATTCTACAATTATATTAAATATTTCACTAATTTAACTTCAAGTCACATAACAATTAAGCAAGACAAAAAACATTAAAATTAATAGTTGAATAAGACAAAAAAACATAAAATTTAGCAAACCTCTATTTTCCGCATTACAAGTAAACCATCAATAACTTTTCCTGTAAAATAGTTTTTTATTTTTACATAATGCGCAACAATAACATTAGAAAAAATTAATCAGAATATGAGAAAAATAACATTATATATCTAATATTAGAAATCAAATTATTGTTAATAAAAAATCAGAATATCGTTTATTAGAACAATGCCGCCTTATGATTTTGGGTAGTGGGGCAGATCCAAAAATCTATTTTTAAGATATTTTTTTAAAATTTCAAAAAAAAATTTAAATGAATAATGTCTGCTACAGGGCATCCGAAACTCATTAAAACGGCAATGCAACAAATATACAAATAAATACCAAATACAACATGTTTGCCATCTAAAAAGTCACACTTTGCACAGGTAATGAAGAACTATAACCAAAAAAATTATTTTGAATTTAAATTATGAGCGGAAAACTGTTCATATATAAATTTATACATATATGTTTATATAAATATACTTATTTAATTTTTTTTACTACAAATAATAAGTAAGTGTTAGTCAAACCGAGCCTATTTTCAAATTCAATTATTTCTTTTCTATTTAACTATTTTTAAACTTACAGAGAAATATAAGTTCTGTAAGAGAAAGAAATTAAAAAAGTTTATTAAAAAAAAACTTTCGTTTCATAGTAAAATTGTTAATGAATAAAATATGTAATAAGTAGTAAATATGAAAACTTGATAAACAATATTAAATTTATAGTGAAAAATGATTAAATTACATTAAAACAAAAATAGAGCTTTGTTAAATTCTTAACTTTTTGCAGAAATTAGAATATTGTTTTTTTGCTACTTTGTTTCTATGGGGTCGATTAGGTTAAAGGTAATGCTCTATTTAAATAACCTAAAATTTATTCTGTTAACAAATTTACTTAATATATTTCAGAATTTATTTTAATACAAGACTTGAATGAAAATAAGAAATCAGTAAAATTTTCAGAAACTAAAAACAGAGTTATGGATAAATGTGACATTTTAACAAGTTATAATTTTATTGGTTTTAATTTTGATTTAAACACTTCAGTTTATATAAATATAATCATGAATATCTGTCACAAATATTCTATTTAATGTATTTAATGTTACTAAAGATGATATATGATTTAGTTTTAAAAAAACACACTGGATATCGAAGAAAAGTAATATTTAGAATTTAAGAGCGACTTTCTGTAAAAATCAGACAAAAACACCAAATTTTTAGAGTGACCTCTTTTAAAATCCCTAATTTTTTAATTAATGTTGTTATACAATAATTTTCTTCTTATTAAACTTTCTTAAAACCTTCTTATAAAACTTTTTTTTAGCTCATTTCTTCATAAGTTTATTAGCTTTTTCAAAATCATTTGTTGCTAAGAAGTAATCACTGTGGTGATTAATTAGAGTTAGAAGACTTACTTTACATAAAATGTCATCCTCTAAATTACCATGGTATCTTTCGATTCGGCCATTGATAACAGTTTATTCCAAATGAAACACTGTTCATACAGTCAATTAAAGTATCAACTTCAGTTATCTGAAAATATCTGAATTTATCTGGATAAATGAAACTTAATTTCTATAATAAATAATCATATAAGTTTTAATATTGTTTTTGATGTGTTGTTAGCTTTTTACTTAGTTATATGTATTATAAGTTTTTGGTTTAACAATATATACAAAATTATCTTTCAACCAAATAAAAGAAAGTTTGGTTGCAAGTTTATGTATTTCTTCTTGATATTTCTCAGCTTCTTCATTCTCAACTTAGTTATTGTCTTGTTCATTAGTCCCAGCAATCATTTTTCCAATTCTTAATAGCTTACTTCATCTAGAGAACAAAGATCTTATTTCTTGGCTTGAAACAAACTTATTAGCTGTAAGATATTTTCTTATCACTGTGTTTACATCTGTTAGTGACATCTTATTTCCTATATTTTCTTTATTTATGAAGTATTCATAAAGAAGTTTATTCAGCTTAATGGAAAAACGAAAAGTCTTTCTTGTTGGCAATACACAACCTAATTTATGGAACTTTTGAGAATATATGTTGTTTATTGGGATAGGCATGATCTTAACCGATGCAGTTGTAGAATTAGAATGAATTTCAGTATAAACTTTTTTTACTTTATCTAAAAAAGAAGATTGTTCAGATCTTTTGTGCTTGTTCTGTCAGCACATGCTTTTCTAACTCAATAATAGTTTTAAAAGATTCAATATAACCAGTCTTCTGGCGAAAACGTTGTGTATTTAAACCACAATTTCTTATCTTCTTTTTTCTACTCAGGGTTTTTCGCTTAAAGTTTCTTTTCATACTAATGAATGGAACAAGCAACTCAATTGATGGTTCAACTGAAAGGTTGTTGTAAATAACTTTAACTCCAATTTCATAGTATCGCCACAAAGTCTTGTAATTTTCTTGGAACTCATAGGAGTAGTCAAGCCTTCCCAGGAAAGGTGTGCGGTTTTTTGTCTCGTACGACCACGAAAACATTTTTCAAGTTAGAGAACGTGATCACGGCCATTTGCGCAAGTTATATTATATGTATTACTGGAAAATTGTTTCAAATTTAATAACTACATAAGAAATTAAAGTAAACTTAAATAGAAAACAATAATAATAGTTTAAATAATTTGTGTTTTTGTTTTTTCTTAGTGGTTATTATTATCGGCAACAAAATTCATTAAGTCAAATAAAAATTAAAAAAAAAAACAGTTTTAGGCGTTAAAAAGGATGACTTTCCTATATTTCATGTGTTTTTTATTTTAAAGAGGAAAGAGAAAATATGTATAGTCATCTGTTTGTAAAATATATTTGTATAATTATAATGTAACATATTTATATAAAGAGTTAAATTACACGATCGCGATTTGCAAATTCTGGTAAAATATTAGGTCTTTAAAATTTTAGTTCATGCAAAGCTGTGTACTTTGTTTATAAGGAGCAAATTATTAAAAGTTTGCTAACGAGAAAGTTACAAAAAAAAAACAAAAAACAATAAACTTATGACTACAAAAGTAATAACACTTTAGTCACTAACTGCATTATTAAAGTAATAAAACTATAATAGTGTTATTACATTTATAAAGCACTTATTACTTTTAAAGTTCATTCTTTGTTCAAACAACATTAATTCCAAACATTTATTAAAGTAGAAAAGCATCTAGAAAAAATAAAGCAGATATTCAAATATTATTAAAAATTTCAGGAGCTTTCACAGATCACTTAAAGGGACTACCAAGTCCCGAGACATGTTGTGTTCATATTAAAGAGAATGTTAAAAAAAAACGTCTGAGCAAATTTTTTTTGATTAAAACTAATTAATAAATGAATACCGAGAAAAACAAATCTTGTTGTTTTAGTCGAAGCTCGTCTTCTTCATTTTCTGTGGTATTTTCTATGGTATATTATATGCGGTAGTGGTGTAGTGGTAGAGCGCTCGCTTCATAAACGAGTGGTTCCGAGTTCAATCCCCGCCACGTCCCTGGTAGTACCGCACTCATTTTGTTTCTCCGCGCAGTGGCCTTGTTCATCAAGGTTCGTGTTTCGGAGTTATAGAGTCGAGAGAGGGTTATAACCACGAATAAGTAGCCTCCTCGTCTGTAGTGGCCTTCTCTGCCTTAAGGAGGTATATTAAAAAATAAAAATTAAATTATTTTGAGTATGTAAAATAAACACGATTTTCCAGGCGCATTATACAGACTTGATAATTTATTCAAGCGCATTTAATTCATAGGAGTTTTAGCGCATGATGTCTTTGAAAACATTCTAGAAATTCTTTAAAAATGTTACTATTAAATTTTATTAAAATAGCTAACTAAGTTACTTATTTTATTAAAAGTTTATTTTATTAATTGTTCGTTAGTTTTTTACAAATCTAACGAACAATTAATTAAACCAAGCACTAAGAAAAGATATAAAAATTAAGAATATACTAATAAAGTATATAATTTGTAATTAACTTTCAAAATTTTGACAATTTAAAAAATATATATTATAAAACATTTATTTTTGTAAACAAATGATAGTTTAAAAGATTTACGGCTTTACAGATGTGACTCCGAGAATGAGCCATAATATTAAAGTGATAGTTCATTTGATAATATACTCTTAAAAAAATTTATGCTAGATATCTCAAAACACAACAAATCGTAAATTATACAATTCCTAAAACATTTCAACAGAATACTCTAGAACTTTATTTCGCTTAGTCAGCATACTTTTTGAACCAATAGAATTAGTTTGTTCGCAAATTTGGCGGGTTTATAGTGTTAGCGAATATTCTTTTTATTCTTCCACAAGATATTTTAAGAACATTCAAGTTAATTATGTTTCCATGTATGTCTGTAAAATTAAAATTAATATATATTAATTTTTTAATTTTTAAGCTCCCGCCATAATATATATTGGATGTTATAATAATGGAAATATAAATAATGAAATAAGATCACCTCAATACCAAAAAATACATTTTTTAAAATCAGAGAAAAAATGCATTATTAATTTTTTTTTAAATATTTACAAAGTAAATTAATAAAAGTACATTATTATTTAGCTTAAAAATGATTTTATCTAATATTTACAAACAAAAGAAATCAAAATACTCGTGGTCTAGACAATTATTTAAAAAAAGTTGCGCAAATAAAATACTATTTTGTTTTTTATTTTATTTTTGTTTTTAATTTTATTTTGTTTTTAATTTTGTTTTGTTTTTAATTTTGTTTTACAAACACATTTTAGAACTTTAAAATATAATAAAAATGAATATGATTTGGAAATTGTATGTAAAAAATAACAATCAGTGTTTTAAACAAACAAACAAAAAAAGTCTGTATAATGCATCTAGAAAATCGCGTTTATTTTACATACTCAAAATACCACAGAAAATGGAGAAGACGAGCTTTGACTAAAACAACAAGATTTGTTTTTCTTGATATACATTTATTAGTTTTAATCAAAAAAAATTTGCTCAGACGTTTTTTTTTTTAATATTCTCTTTAATATGAACACAACATGTCTCGGGATTTGGTAGTACCTTTAAACAACGTTATAAAAAAGTACTTTATAAAAAGTATAGCATGAAAAGCGTTACATAAAAACGCAAGTTAATTTTAAAATCAACCAATAAAAAATTTTTATTGGTTAATTTTAAAATTAACGCGTGTTTTTACGGTCCATTAGTAACGTTTTTCATAATGCTAAACTTTTAATACAATATGTTTTCATAAAGTTGTTTGTCACGTTTTTATAAATTACTTAAGTTTTAATATAATTTGAACATCCACTTTATTCTTCTAGATGTTTTTCTACTTCAATTAAAATTTAGGAATACTAATGTTGCTTGAACAAAAAATGAATTTTAAAAGTTATAAGTGCGTTATAAAAGTAATAACACTATTATAGTGTTATTACTTTTGTAATGCAGTTAATGACTAGAGTGTTATTACTTTTGTAATCGTAAGTTTATTGTTTTATTTTTTTGCTAACAAATTTAAGTTGATTCTCCCCATAAAAACAAGGAACACTGTTTTGTATAAACTAAAATTTTGAATACTAGATAAATTTCCAGATTTTGCGTTTTACATTTGCTTAATTCAACCCTTGTTGTTACATTACAATTATACAAATAAATTTTACAAACACATGGCAATTTGTATTTTTGCTATCCTCTTAAAAAAAAATCAAGAAAAGGAAAATCATTCTTTTTATTGTAGACTTCAAACTGTTTTTTTTTTTTTGCTTCGCCTTATTTAATTTTGTTGCTGAATGTAACTCTAAAGAAACAAAAATAATAACAGTAAACAAATTATTTAAATTATTAATTTGTTTTTTATTTTTTTTTATCTAAATCTCTTTTTATTTTGTTAGTTTAGTTTTTTTGTCTTCGAACTTTTTCAGCATTATTATAAAACTTGCAAACGGCAGTGTTCACGTTTTTTAAAATATTACAATCGCATGTGGTCATACAAGACGAAAAACCAAACGCCTTTCCTGGGAAGGCTTGGTAGTAGTTGCTTATATTTGAAATTTTAGGACCAGTTAACATACTCAATTTTTGCTACACTAACCACACCATTTTTGACGCCATAACCATATTTCACTGCTTTTGCAACATCTACTGCAATTACTATGTCATTGCCAGCATAAACATAACTTTTTAGTATTGTTTTAGCGGATGCACTTTCCCTATCAAACTGGTCTTTTCCACAGCAAGGCTTGTTAAAGTCGTACGCTGAAGTTTAAAATTTTTATTTTTGCAGAGCTTTTACATAGATTCAACTGAATAGTTATCATTATCCAATTTTGCAAAAATATTTACTATTTCTAGCTCATCTAGACAAAACTGATTTAGAACTGATTTTGCAATAGAGATAACAGAGCAAAAACCTTGATTGCAGCGATATAAAACTGTTTGATAAACATGCTTTTTGAGTGTCATTTTTTTGGTAAAAAAAAAACATCTATACGCATACTCATGCCTTTTTTCCCAAAGTAGTCCTTCTGACGCTCTATAAACTTCACAGGTAATATCTTCTGTGAATAGTCTTTCAATCAAAATGCTGTTTTTTCATCTAGTTGTTTATATACATCATTTTTTTCATCTAGTTGTTTATATACATCATTTAGTAAGGAACACAGATATTCTGTTCAAAACAACAACACGTAAAGTAATATTTTTTGTAAACATTTTTTTTTTTAAATTCTTTTGTCTCTCAAGAAGTCCTTATGGATTATGAGCACTGTGGATGAGCATTTAATTGGAAGTTTACGCCTCCTTTCAATGGATGGCGCAAAACTTGCCAAGAGGTGGGGTTTAAACCACGGATCTTTGATCAAGATGATTTAATCAAAATGTTTTTTGGAAAAGTAAAAAATCCCAGCTTTGAATGAAAACGAAGATTAAAAATGACAAAAAAAATCGTTTTTTGCATATTTTAAAGTATGATATTTAGTCAAGGAAAAGAATTTTCTTTACCAATTTTATTAATTTTTGGTCTGAACTAGCCAATAAACAATAATAAAGTGAAATACTCGTTGTAAAGTATTTACTTTGTTTTTTTTTTCGAGTTTAAAAATGCCTTCATCACCATTTCGTTAATATTTCAAAAAATTTAGTCAAACTTTGACATCTAATATATAAAGAACCAATTAATATTTTTTGAAAAAATTTTGGAATTAAGCTTCTAATATTAATAGCAACAACATATTAAAAGATTAGCAATTTTGAAGAGGGTCACTATTGAACTCTGCCTGATTCTTACAGAAAGTTGCTCTTAAATATTTAAATATTACATACACTAACATTTAAAAAATGATAAGGTACAGTTAATATTTTTTATAAGTTACAGTTAATATTTATACAGCATTTTATAAACAGCCATCGGAATTAAGGTTGGAGTTCGGTAATGCCGACCATATATAGCAAAATATTAAAAAAAATAAAAATGTTACCTGACAACCATTTGTATTTGGACCACTGTTTGCCTAAAAAAAAAAGTAGGTGTGCCAGATATAACTTGTATGATAATACAATTGGATATGCAGAATATATCAAAATATCTATAAACAACGAATTCCCTTTAAAAAAAAGTTTTTTTGTGTTTTGTTGAACCATTTCCAAATTAGTGAAAATTGTATAAAAAACATTAATTTTCAGAACTAAAAATAACACTTATCTTTTAAATCCGTTAAAAACGCTAAAACTTAATGAAAAGTAGAATAATAAACCAGTACTTATATATACAATACAATATACTAAAAAGATAAATAAATCACACATTCCTTAAAACATACTCTTATAAAATATCTTATTAAATATCTATTTCAGACTCATAATTAAAATTGCACAAATGCATTCAATTAATAAAAATTGTTTTTAGACTAAGTGTATTAATTAAATGCAAATGTATCTGAACTTTCTTTATATCAATAGATTCAAAACCTTTATACAACTTATATCATTGCATAAGGTCACCTCTTAGTTCAAAAATTTTATTCTTTTATTATATCTCAGATGCCTTGGTTCTGGTACCATTTTAGTGGCTCTTCTTTGAGCTTTTTCCACTTTGAAATTTTTTACATAATAGGGATTCCAAGCTTGAACTACAAACTACAAATGTGGTCTAACAAAAATACATTTTTTATCTCAAGATAAAGAAATGGGAGGACCTAGGAAACCTTGAAAATATTATAAATCCTTAGACAACTTGGTAACGGCTATTTGCAATTTTTATTATATTAATCATTACAGTAAAAATCTATGTTTCAAAAACAAAAAAAGCAAAACTTGCAAAATAGGAAATTCAAATAAATTAAAATAGAAACAAATAAAAAGAAATTAATTATTTAAATATTTTTATTTTTGTTTCTTTAGAGTGGTTGTTATTTTGAGCAACAAAATTAGATAAGACAAAGCAAAAAAAAAAAAAAATAGAAAGCCTATTTAAAAAAAAAAAAATAAAAAATATGACCAGCGGTATTTAAAAAAAAACAAAAAAGATTGGAAAGTCGTAGCAATCAAACCTCAGATATTCAGTTTATGAAGTAACGCCATATCCATTTATGCTAAACATGCTTATACACAGTTTAAAATAAATATAATTATATAATACATAAAGTTATACATAAAAGTATACACATGCATCGCATAGACGTTTTTTTAATAGGGACAATATCTACTTGTTTTATTAAAATTATACAAATATATTTTATAAACAGATGGCAATTTATATTTTCGCTTTCCTCTTTTAAAAAAAAATTATTTAAATTATTTAAAAGAATTATTTAAATAATAATATATTTTTTTTCTATTTAAGTTTATTTTAATTTGCTATTTTGTTGGATTTGCTTTCTTTGTTTTAAAATTGATTATGTTCAGATACTTGTATAGTGGTCTAATATAGATATAAAAGAGTATTGGACCCAGGATTGTACCTTGTGGTGCTCCACATTTTGAAATCTACTTTAAAATCTTTTGGCTACTTTAATTTCAACACACACATGTTCAAAGGAGTGAAACTGTTGATTTGGAAGTTGTTTGTGATTGTTTTAACATTATTTCTACCCTGCCACCTTTTTCTTATCTCTTTCCTTATTTTGTGCCAAAAAACATCCATAAATTTTTATCATTGCTATTGTATTATTGTTTTCAGAAGCCATCCATGTTTTGGTAATAAAAACTACGTCTGGATTCCGATCAAGTATATGCTGCATTACATCTGGAAGTTTATTAGTAAGAGAGCAAACATTCCATAGTGAGCATAATATATAATTTATGTAGGTTCTATTATCTTTTTGAACTTGGCATTTAAACAATTAATTTCAAGTGTTTCTTTCAGGGTATTTTTTTCTCTCTCATATGAAGGACATTTAATATTAAATGCACAGTTAAAATTATCATTTTGTCCATCTAAAACACAGTTAAAACATTTTTTATTGATTGAAGAGCACTTCAATGTTTGATCAATTCAATGTTTTTTGCTAGATTTAACACATATTGGTTTTTGTATCTTGCATTTCTTTGCAAAATGTCCAAAGCTTTAACAGTAAAAACAACGCATTACATTGAATATATTCTGTAAGAAGTTAATCCAAGTAATATTTTTTGCAAGAAGTTAATCCAAGTGTTACTTTGTTTTTTTTACATTGAAAACCTTCTTGTAATATTTTACTTTCACAAACACTTGAAACATTGATGGTTTATTTTTTATCAATTGATAGCTTGTATTTTAAAATAATCTTTGATGTTGCTCACCTTAGTCAATTCTTGGATAAAACTGTTTTGTGTCTGCAGGATGTTAACTTTATTTTCATTATATTCTTTAGGTAAACCACTGATAATAATTTTTTGCATGTTTAATTGATATGATTTTATTTTTATTTAATTGTTTGTGTCTTTAAGAGAATTCAATAATTCGCCTTTAGATTCTTTAGAGTTACATACTAGGACAAAACCACCTGATTTATTATAATATGAATTTTTCAATTGAATATTATTATTCATGACTATATTTTTGATTATACCTATGTTATCTTTGTTAACTTTTTCATCAGATATTTTTTCTATAACTAAAAGGGAACCTGGTGCTGGAGTTTCCATTGTATTTAACCTTTCTTTGTTGAATCATAAAATATTATTTTCCGATTTAGTATCACTAGAGCATTTTTTAACACTTTTATTTCATTGAGCTCAGTTTTGATTTCTGTAACATTACATTCTAGAGTGATCAGCTTCAATGCTTCTGATTTAGACACTTATTTCGAGGTTGGTTAGGCAGACATCACAAAAGAACAGAAAGTTGTTCTAGTTAAGAACAACTTTCTGTTGTTCTTAACTAAGAACAATTCGGAATAAATCGACATTCTTTGGATTTATTTCTTGACATGTCTTTTATGAGAGTGAAACACTTTTTAAAAGGAGAGCTACCACCTTTTTGCAGTGGATTATCTCCAGGTCGAGATCTACTATATGTTATTATTACCTTATTAACAAAGTAAAACAGGAGTTTTATTAGAGTGTTTTTTTCCATCATAGTAAAAAATATAGAAGAGTTTTTGTAAAACTTCTTTGATTAGGTTTTAACTGTTATTGTATGTTTCTGAGATATAAAACCTAAATAAAATTTTTAGAAATTAAAAAGCTTACCATAGACAACAAACCAGGGGCATCATGTTTTAGTTTAAAATTTTCATCCGGAAATGATATTCCACCATATATGCTACTAACACCACTTCCATCACCCTAAAATAAATCAAATTTATTTAGAAACATTTTTTGAATAATAATTAAATTTATACCACCCAATGCATGAGGTGATATGTTCAATAACTAATTATAGAAAAGAGAAATACAATTTCTTCCCTTAGATTTTTCCCCAGAAGATGAAAATGTTCTGGAAGAAAATTTGCACATTAAAAGTAATGGACAAGGGGCCATTTACTTTTTAACATCTAAAAACAACAACCACTAAAAAAAAAAATACAAGGTGCTAAACTTTTACAAAACCACACAATCATAAATCAACACAAACCAATCATAAATCAACACAAACCAATCATAAATCAACACAAACCAATCATAAATCAACACAAACCAATCATAAATCAACACAAACCAATCATAAATCAACACAAACCAATCATAAATCAACACAAACCAATCATAAATCAACACAATCATAAATCTTGAATTAAAATAACAATCACAATCTTAAATTAAATAAAAGACATTAATTTTATGCTATAAATTTTTCTGGTTTATTTATTATTCATTTTATCATTATCATAGTCTTTTCAGTTTATGATTTGTTTACTTTAATTTTAGTTTATGTTTACATTTATTTATTCAGCACATTTTCTAAATACTCTAAATTTCAAAATTTCCACAGAGCTGCAGCCAAGTTGTCAAATTAAAATATTATATGCGTGGTCTTTTCTGAGAATACTTGTGTGGTTATAACATTAATTCATCAAAATGACATTCTGTTGGGAAATTACTTTGTTTTATGTAAAGCCTTTGGTATGACTTAACACTTAAACTATGACTAAACATTCTTTGATTCATGGCTATGAAGTCATTAAATTATATATTCTTCCATTAGGTATATTTTTTGAAGAGGCTCGAGAGGATACCATTTAAGTTTTAATAATCTTTTGTATAAATTTAACACAAAAATGCCATTGGAAAAAAAAAAAATTTAGACCTTTATAATCATCTTTTATGTGCAACTGACCTTTTAATTTGCATATTTAGAAAGAAGATACATAACACACAAAAAAAGCCTACCATCTGGTATCATTGAATTATTGCAAGAGCCAATAACAGAATACTTTACTTAAAATGTAAATTTAAATAATATCTTTGTTGTTAACTTTGTTGGGTAACAACAGCATTTTTTATAAATGAAAAAAATTTTTAGTTTTAAATAATTTGCTTAATTATTTAATAAAATTTGAATTTTTTTTTTAATGTATTTTTAAACATAATAAACTGTTTCTAATAAAAAAATATATAAATTTTTTTGGCTAGAAATTGTCACCTTAGACCCACTGACTTATTTTTTTTAGTGGGTCAGCTGTAAATTGTTAGAGTATTGCATCTTAAAATCTCTTGCTGCAATAAAAGTTTAGAATATAAAAAACCATGACACATGAGCTAAGGACATGTATTTGAGATCAACTGAAGTTTTCTGTAGCTCTGTTTGTTGATCATTTGTCCTGCCATGATTGCAAGACTAAATAAAAATGACAGTCCGTCATTTTCTGAAAGTGGATACAACTGCTTTATTTGGATCTTTATGTTAAATTTTAGGGTACGATACTTTATTTCAATAAAAGTATATTATTTTATTAAAACTAAATGTACCTTCTGCTTCTTTTATGTTACTGTTAGATTTTAGAGCAGTTGTAGTTTCATCAACTTTAATAAAGCAAGTAGAAACTGACTTTCTATAGGTTTCTGTGCAACAGAAAGGTTTAGACAATTTTATGTTATTTTTTTCAAGTCTTAACAAACTTGGGATATAAGACATTCATGAAAAAAGTGCATTCATAATTAGTTTCTCATCACACGCACACACAGATATATATCAGCCCTTGGAATTAGGGCTTGCTGACTGAACTGATAATCTCAAATTTTTTAGGTCAGCAAAAAACTGCTGACCTCGTTTCAATATTTTATGGTAAGACCTTCATATCAAATTTTTTTTGCCGACCTGATGCTGACCATTAAAAGATTGAGGTCGGAAAATTATTGACAAACTCATTTTTTTTAATTCCGAGGGTTGATTTTTATATAAACATACACAGACACATATATATAAAAACACACATATATATAAAAACACACACATATATAAAACTTTTTGGAATTTAAAAAATTAAAATTTTATAAGGGTACTGTTTAACAATAACAGTAAAACAGCTATTTTTAAAAGGATGTCATTACTGCTTTATACTTTTTTTAAATACAAATTTTTAGGCAAATAAATAGCTGTGCAAACTTTATATCAAAATTAATGAATTACTTTAAAAAAGCTAGTGAAAAAAGACAAATCTATTTGTGATTTGCTTGAGTGAAATATATATAATCCACATATAGTATAAATATATAAAATGCAATCTTTTGTAACAATTAACAACATACAAACCTTAACAAAATCTCCACCTTGAATCATAAAATCTTTTATTACTCTAAAGCAAACATAAATATGGCATAGCAAAATTTTATTAACATTAATAATTTATACATTATTAAGATTATTACATGCAGTTAGGTCGGCATTTGGCAATGCGGATCTTAAAGTGTTTGAGGTTGGCAAAAAATTGCCGACCTCATTTCTATGTAGGTAAGTCCTTTGTATCAAATTTTTTTTGCTGAACTGATGCCAACCTCTAAAAGATTTAGGTCAGCAAATTATTGCCGACCTCATTTTTCCTAATTCCAAGGGTTGATACATCTTGTCTTTTATAGCTTGTTTAGATGAGTATTTGCTCACTATTTTTGCTTATCTTTATAGCATAGTGGGTTTTTAGAAAAATAAAGAAAAAACAAAGAATATAGAAAGAAAAGATTGCTACCCCATGCCAATCCTTCAGTTGATGTAGCAGCACTCCAATGCGAGTCAGGCTATTTGTCAGTTGATGTATGTACTGAAGCCCCTGAAAGCAGGCTATTTTAGAGTGACGTCAGAGTGCTCATTTAAACTAGCAATTTATTTCATATATAAATCAGTCTTCTCTGTCTGAAATTTAATGCCAGCGCACAAAAAAACGCTGGCAAAATGCTCATTTTTAAGTTGGCCTGCGCAATATAAAAAATTCATTTTTTTCGTGCTATTAAAATAAAAATAAAAATAGCGAAAAGAATGCTTTGAATAAATACTAGATAAAATAATTTAAAAAAAAAACTTATAAAAAAAAAATCACTTTTCATAAAAGTTGAACAAATCAACATAAAAGTTTTGTTGCAATTTAAAACAAAACGCATGTTATATCAAAAGTATATCATGTTTGGTCTCAATAGGAGTGAAATTTTATAAAAATTTCAAAAATGATAATCATTTTATTTATAAAGATTACTAGTTTAAATTTTATGGCTTAAAAATTATCATTTCATAATAAAAAATAAAAATTACATATTTTCAAAGGTTTTTTTTAAATAAACTTTTTTAAATTGTGTTTCCATAAATTGTTTTTATTATTTTTGAAATTTTTATAAAACTTCACTTCTTTTGAGACCCAACATGATATATTTTAGAACCATTTTTTCAAAATATTAGAGACCGGTTTGATGTTTAAGGGTCTTGAGCGACCCCTAAAATTTTTTTTATTCAAAAATTTTTTTAATTTAGTGTTAATTTATTACAATTTCAAAAAAAGTTGTTTTTAGAGGCACTCTAATATATATATATATATATATATATATATATATATATATATATATATATATATATATATATATATATATATATATATATATATATATATATATATATATACATACGCACACACATGTGTATATGTGTGTGTGTATTGGTCAGTTGATTTTAATTTTTTTTTTTTTTTAATTTAATTTCATAAAATGTAAACATTATGTTGTTGTTTTTTAAAATTTATTTTAAAAACCAGATAAAGTTTAAAAACTAATTTTAAAATTAAAATTTAAAATTAAATACCTAGAATTAAAACTAAAGTGAATAACTATTCTACATGGAGAAAACTTGACTGATCCTCACAGTGACGTATCCAGGAATAATTTGGGCATACCGGTCTAAAAGTTCTGCCTATCTTAGAGGACCTTTTTTTTTTTTTTTACTCAAATTTAACTACAATTCTTCGTATATAATATATAATGATTTATCGCTAATCGCTACTTTTCATTTACTTGCTCCATACACTTACTATTTATAAATTAATGCTAATTATTAAATAATTAAATTCCAAATATTAAATATTATCAACTAGAAATAAAAAGAGTATGATTTCATAAACAAACAATAACTATAACGTTTAATAAACAATATTTGTATGACTCTTTGATATAAACTTTATTACATAGCGTATTTAAAACAAGGTAAATTCATTCGAAATTTTAATTCATTCAAAAATTCATAACTTTTTTTTCTAGTTCTACTCTTACTATTCCAATAAAGTTTTTTGGCGCGAATATTAAAATGTTATTTTAATTATTTAAATAAATGTTATTTTAATTTTATGTTTTAAAAAATATCATTTGTTTTATTATTAAAAGTATTTTACAAACAATTTTTACTGTTGTTTGAAATGAAAAAGTTTAAAACTCATCTAGTTTAATTGCTTCGAAAATTATGTTATGAAAACGTAAGCGGAGGAGAAACTCATATTAATGTATTTTAAAATGTTATTTAAAAATGCTAAGCGTTTCATATTTTAATCCAATCAAAACGTGCGTTTTACATTTAATCCAATTGCAACATATTCTATAATTCATCAACGTGAATTCGAATTAAGCATTTTGGTTGGCTTAAAATACATTTATAATGTATTTTAAGTTTTAAAATACTTTACTTTTAAAATACATTTATAATGTATTTTAAATGCGACTTTTAAAATACACTTATAATGTACTTTAAAAGTTGTTTTTCAAATGTTGATATTTATGTAATTGTAACAAATGCTAATATAAAAGTGTTTTAAATTGAGTTTGGGCTGAAATTTGGGGGCCCATACCGGTATACCGGTATCAAAATCGGCCTGGATACGTCGCTGCCTCATAAATCAGCAGTTGTGTGTTCAAAGCACTTCACAGAAGATGATATGGATAGAACTAGTTTCTCATGTTTGAGAGTTCAGTATGATGCCATACCAAGCATTTTTGAAGTTTTTCCATGATATTTATTTTCTTTTTTTCTTCTTCTAACTTTTGGTATATTTATCTTACTCTAGTTCAGCAAAGATCATATAGAGCTATTTTTTATATACTAAGTGGACAGTTGTACAAAAAGTTTTTTATTTTTACAGTTCAGTAAGATAACCTGTAAAAAATAATATTTGCTTACTATTTCATCTCCATACAGTTATTTGGATCTTGTTTCAATATATTTTCAATGGTTCAGTTTTATTATAGCTAGAGTAAATGATATTATTTTTACTATGTTAAATAACTATTGTTGAAATCTAGAATTGTTTAGCACAGATCTACTTGAACAGTTGCATGTTGCATGCAACAACATGTAAAATTTATTTTAAAGTTTAATTTTTGTTATTTGACACAAATCTTAACTTGCAGTCACATAGTAATCATTTTTTTTTATAGAACCAAATCATTACTTATTCCCATCATAAATGATAAAATATTTTTTATTCTTATTGCTTTATTTAAACTGGTTTAGATATTTTTCTGAAAGGATAAGTCTGTTTCTATAATTTTTAGATGGAAACCTACTTTAAAAGATATAAACAATGTCAATGCATTAGTAAAGCTTCAGCTGCTGGAAATGCTTTCTGCATTTGTATTTATTGTACTAGGGACTAATGCAGAATGTAAACTTTGTTTAGCTTGGTAGGTCTATGACAAAATGGTAGGCTGATGACAAAAGCCATTTAAAATACATCCGAGAATGCATTGAAAGTAAAAATGAATATTGATCTTACATGAGACTTATTTTATAAAGAAAGAAAAAAATGAAATTAAAGTTAGATACAGTACATCATAAAAATACTATTTTTTGGCTTGAAAATTTAAAAAACTACATAATAAATAAAAGACTTTCTAAAAGGGAAATAAATGCTTTAGATCAAAATTAAGGACATGTTGTCGCAATGCAATTTTCAAGTGAAAGTAAAACTGTAAAATTTGATATATGTTTTACAACAGTAAAACTTGATATATGTTTTAGTATGCTTTAACATTACATAATTTTACAAAGTTTACATAAGTTAGATCAGGGCTTGAAATAACAAACTTTTTTGTATCAGACAATTTGTGTGATAAAGATTCAAGTTTGCTGGACATGTCCAATAAATATTAAAGAACACGCATAAAATATTTTGTTTTTACGCAATGTTTTGATAACTGAAAAGCGCTAAAAAGAAAAAGAAAATTTGTAAGATAAATTATCTAACCAAAAGAAAAGCTTTTTTTTAAAAAAAAAAGCTTTAAAAAAAGAGCTTCAAAAAACTAAAATTTGAAAAGTAAAATATATTTATATTACCATTTTTAAAAATACTATAATATACGAAATGCTATGTAAATTATTATATACATAAATTATTACATAGATATATTAAATACATAAACTATGTAATTATTAAATACATAATTAAATATGTAATAAAAATGTATAATAAAAGTACAAAATTATTAAATACATAAATTACTATGTAAATATATAAAATGGATAAACTATAATACTTTGTTAAATAAAGTAACAAATTAATTATGCTTAAAATAAACCCATTTTATTTAAATTATCAAAGAATATTATACGTAATTCAAGCCTTCCCAGGAAAGGCAAGCGGTTTTTCGTCTCGTATGACCACATGTGATTGTAATATTTTAGAAAACGTGAACACTGCCATTTGCAAGTTTTATAATAATGCTGAAAAAGTTCGAAGACAAAAAAACTAAACTAACAAAATAAAAAGAGATTGAGATAGAAAAAAAAAAAAAAAATTAATAATTTAAATAATTTGTTTACTGTTATTATTTTTGTTTCTTTAGAGTTACATTCAGCAACAAAATTAAATAAGGCGAAGCAAAAGAAAAAAAAACAATTTGAAGTCTACAATAAAAAGAATGATTTTCCTTTTCTTGATTTTTTTTTAAGAGGATAGCAAAAATACAAATTGCAATGTGTTTGTAAAATTTATTTGTATAATTGTAATGTAACAACAAGTGTTGAATTAAGCAAATGTAAAACGCAAAATCTGGAAATATATCTAGTATTCAAAATTTTAGTTTATACAAAACAGTGTTCCTTGTTTTTATGGGGAGAATCAACTTAAATTTGTTAGCAAAAAAATAAAACAATAAACTTACGATTACAAAAGTAATAACACTCTAGTCATTAACTGCATTACAAAAGTAATAACACTATAATAGTGTTATTACTTTTATAACGCACTTATAACTTTTAAAATTCATTTTTTGTTCAAGCAACATTAGTATTCCTAAATTTTAATTGAAGTAGAAAAATATCTAGAAGAATAAAGTGGATGATCAAATAATATTAAAACTAAAGTAACTTATAAAAACGTGACAAACAACTTTATGAAAACGTATTGTATTAAAAGTTTAGCATTATGAAAAATGTTAGTAATGAACCGTAATAACACGTGTTAATTTTAAAATTAACCAATAAATTTTTATTGGTTGATTTTAAAATTAACGCGCAATGAAAAACCGCACGCCTTTCATGGGAAGGCTTGTAATTACATTTATATAAACACGTCTTTTTTAATAAATCTTTTCAAACTTTTTCTAGGATTAATTTTATAAACACTTTTAATGCTGGTTTCTATAATGTAATAAAAGTATTGGTTTCTATAGTGTAAAAAAAGTACTGGTTTCTATAGTCTAATAAAAATTGCTGTTTTCTATAGTCTAATAAAAAGTACTGGTTTCTATAATGTAATAAAAGTACTGGTTTCTACAGTGTAATAAAAAGTGCTGGTTTCTATAAGCATAACTATTAAACTATTAAAATAACTATTACGTTAAAATTTTTATAAAACAAAATTTAAAAAGGGTTTTAAAAGCTAAAATGTTTGTTTGAAATTTATAAAAACCATCTTACAAAAAATAAAATAAATACTCAACTATAAATTACTAACTAATTGCAATGTTTTAATATGAATGATAAAAACCGGGCTACTTAATTCAAAATAATGTAATGCTTTGGCGTCTTTTAGAAAATAAATTAACTTAAAAAAATGACATATTTTATTAACGTAGCAGCGTGTGTTGAATTTCAATTTTGTTTTGTGTAATAAATAAAGTTCAAAAAATAAAGTTTATATAAAATACAGGATTTATTAATAACTTTTGAATTAACTAAAATGTCGGACAAAATGACCGATAGATGATATTTTTTACCAGACAAGTGCCGGACAATGTCCCATGACCAGTGCTTATTTCGAGCCCTGAGTTAGATATTTGCATATACTTTCGTTCATATAACATGTGGCAGAGCTTATAACATAAAGTGCTGCCATTCCTTCTTGCCATTACCTCAAATGCAATGGCTGCCAAGAGATTGTTGTCAGGTTCATTAAAGTAGTTATGAGCCTTTTTCAATCAGAAAAATTTCAGGATCAATTAAGGAACTAAAAGGACTCAGTTGTAAACAAAGTTGTTTTATTATCAGTTGTCCAACATTTTGAAGACAGCAGTTGTTTTGGAATGACATCAATTCAGTCTTATTATTACAAAATTAGAGTTTTCAGAGACTCCATGAACTACATGAACAATTATGTTGAAGTAAAGTTTAACATCAGTATGTCATATGGATGGAAGTACTATATTATTAAATACCACTTGAATGATTATTTGGACCTCCATCAGATATCTCTCGGTCTGATATCAGAACAAACATTAAAAACTGTTCACAAGAACATTAATAAGACTATCAAGAGGTTTAGTGTCTCGGAAAGTAATCCTTCTCATGGAATAAAACTGAGATGAGAGTATAAAGGTTGTGAATTGGATAAAAGTTGGTTAAGACAAAAAATTTGTATATTTAAACTACTATAATTTCCTCATAAATGTACTTTTGATCTCTTTTTTTTTTCTTTTTTTTTTTAAATTTATGTTGGAGATATGAGAAAGTTTGATGAGTCAACAATAATAGTATATTTTTAAACTATTAAAAATACTTTTAGGTTATGTTTGGATTCAAATTCATAAAAAATATATATTTCTATAATTTAATATCAAATTTAATATCAAAATTTGATGAAAAATTAAAAAAAAAAATACATTAATACAGTGGTGGCTAAAAATATTTTTCAAATCTTATTAAACTAATTTTAATTGCTTCAATATTTTCTTAACCCTAAAGAGTAAAATGTTGTTAAATGGTAACACAATTGTTAATAAATAATTGTAATTATTTTAAAATAATATCAATTTTGCAGTGGTTTATTGTTGATTTGGTGTCATTTGCTACTATCAAGATTAAACATTTTGAAATAACAGACTTAAAGGTTGATGGGCAGGGACTGTAATACCAAAGCTCCCTAGATTTTTAAAAGTGAGGGGACAAAAGCCCCCTAAGCTCCGCCTGTTTCACCAACCCCAACTTTATATATTATTATTATAATTTTAAATTGTAAGATCACTTCTGTTCGATAGGGTCTATTTAAGCTATCTGCAGCACTAAAGACAACAAGGTTATGATGGTAAAAATATTATCACTATTGAAAATTAAAAAAATCATCAAACTCTCAATTTAGGACCGGCTCCAATTTTAATTTTTGTTTAGCAATAATCTACTAAATCTATCTGATAATTCTGTGAAGAAAAAATCCAGGTACCTTCATCTTCAACCTAAACCCCCTATTTCAGAGCAGTGTCTAAAATTGCTATTGATTGGAATGGGCCTGATTTTATAATTAATGTGAAACTCTAAGATTCCCAAAATGAAAAAGCTCTTTGCTTTAAATACTCAAATGAAGACTCAAAAAATTAAAGTACCTGTGGAAAGTAGCACCTTTATAACCAATAGGAACTTTGTCTTTTCTAAAAATAATGTAAAAGATTATAATATATAAAATTTAGATTATTAGAGTCATACAAATATATATATTATAAATAACTGCAAAGCAGTAATTATAGTTGAGAAATATTAAAAAAAAACTAAAACAAAATAAATAATGTTTGTTATTAATAATATCTAAATAAGGACACAATCCTTCAATACATCAAAAAGTTTAAATACAATTTCTTTCATTTATGTACTCATATTTTACTTCAAAAAGATTCTAATAAAACTAACACTAGTTTATTTAATAAAAAATTCCAAACAGCAGACTAAGTATACACTCTATAAATTTAAGTCCATTGGTTAATTATACTATAATATATATTATAAATTAATTTATAAGGGGCATATAATATTCTAAGTGAACTATAATTTTATTTTGTATTTAGTAAACTAAAAATACATCAAATTATTTGAAAGCAAACTGTTATGGTTAAACTAAAAAGGTAAAAATAATTTGGAGGCAGAAACTGCTCCACAATACAGCTGATGTTTAATGAGTGACCTTTTTAATTTTAATTAGTATTTAAAGCAGAAAAAAGTAAATTTAAGTTTAAGTATAAGGAGTTTATAAGAATAACACCAAATAAATAAAATAAATAAATTAATAAAATGCATTGCCAGTGCTATTGAAGAAAAAGTAGCTAAAATCGTTAATGAAAAAAGCTTTTTTTCCATTCTTTCCGATGGTTCACGGGCTAGAAAAACAAAGGACAAGAAAGAGTTAGTAAGTTAAACTTTCTGGGATACCTAAATGGTGGCATGGGAACAAATTTTTATGTATGGTTTGTAGTTCTCTTTTTTATCATTGGTTTTCGAAAAATGTTGAATGTGAATGAGCTAAAACCAGCAGTAGATGTAAGTAAGGGTAACTTAGACGAATTACACAATGAAGATATTGATGATATTATTGATTCATATTTATTCAAGTTTATAATCATAAAAAAAGATGGCTTGATCCACTAGCATTGCAGCAGATGATAGTAATACTATAATAATATTAGCATTGCAACAGATGATAATAGCGAAAAAATCTGCAGCAGTAACGATTTGAATTTGACATCTGAAACAGACTCGAACAGATTTACATTTTATATTTTTGAACTTTTAGGTACATAATGTCATACACTTGTAAATTGCATCTATTTTATATTATACATAAACATATATGATTATTATTAAATTTTATTAAAAATGCAATTGTTGTAGAAAGTATCATTCTATTAAATCAACCATAAAAATTGCTTTAAAAGATTAACATTTATCATAAAAAAATACATGCTTTTTAAATAATAAAAAAATATTCTATATTTATATAATTTATATAACATACTCAACTTGTTTCTCCACGCAGCGGCCTTGTTCATTAAGGTTCATGTTTTGAAGTTATAAAGTTGAGAGAGGGTTATAACCACAATTAAGTAGCCTCCTTGTCTGTAGTGACCTTCTCAACTTTGGGGAGGTGAATCAACAAAAAAAAAATAATAATAAAAAGTACACTAACTAAATTCATAGTTTTGCTCCTAAATAAAAATGCTTTTTTTTTCCCTTTTCTGCATCAATAGGAAGTTTATCTGGAGCATAGCCAATACCTCATATACTTTTTTTTTTTGTAAAGTTAGAATGAAGTGCATTTTTTATTACAGGATATACCTTTTATCTTTTATTTCCTGATTTTCTTTAAGCACAATTTAATAATATAGCAAAACTAATTATAATAAGTTACAAAATGAATTATGGGGAATTATTTATAGTTCCTTCCCTCTGACACAAACAAAATTACTTGTCTGCCATTTTTACGCTCTTTATTAATCTGATTGTGAACCATGAGATTTACAATTTGAAACCCTTTGTATAATATACGAAGCATAACATTTCACAATTACAACTGCATAACCATGTCATTCCAACATTAAAAACCAAATTTAAAATAAATATTTATCAAACTATAGTTTTGAAATCATGCACTTGCAACATAACTTATATGCATACAAAAATATATACGTATGTATAATATATATGTACAAAAACTTATAATATGTATACAAAAATATATACAAAACATTTCATTAAGCTAGAATAACAAATGCAGAGTGGCCAGCTACTTTGTACAATTAAATTCCCTGACTTTTCCCTGACTTTTTATATTTTTCCCTGACTTTTTATATTTTTCCCTGACAAAGTTATATTTTAAAGTGTGAGTTTTTAAGTTTTGTTGTTAAGAAGTAAGTAAAAAAAAAAACCTTTTAAAAAAATTAAATTTTGAAAAAGAGATTTTTTTCCCTGACTTTTGGAGAAAAAATTAAAAATCCCTGACTTTCCCTGACTAGAAAAAAAATCTCTGACTTTCCCTTGATTTCTAGTTGGCTGGCCACCCTGCAATGAAACTGAAATAACAATTATTTCAGTCACTAAATGCCTGTTTATTTTACAACTTTGTCATTGTTTAATAAAACATGAATAAAAAACTACACCCTTTGAGATTTATTGTTTTGAATTAAAACATAATCTGAATAAACTATACTAACAAAATATTTTTTTTAAAACATCTTTAAAATTTTTATTTAAAACATCAAAAAAAATTTTTAAAACATATTCACAATAAGTATGGATTATATTTGAGTCACATGTTTATTCTCAATATAAAATCAGTTTAAACAATTTATACTCAATACAAAAAAAAGAGAAAAAAAACATTTTGTCTATCAACAACACAGAGCTTATAGTTATCTTGAAATAAAAAAATGTTGAAAACAAATAAAATGTTGACAAAAATGGGACAGGTATATTTTAACAAAGTAATTAAAGACAAATGGGAACAAATACCTGCCGAATATATATAAAAATGACTAACAAACACCTGTTTGGCATTCTCGATGGTGCTACTTAATTTAAATGCTTACCAATTCTATTGGAAGCCATTTAAATTAATTGATACAAAATTAATACATTTTAGACTTATAAAAACATAATAAAATGACACACACATTTGAACACATTTTAAAATGATAATTATATTATATTGTTGACTACAGTTTTTTAGAAAACAAATTTTTAATGAGTTTTATTATTCATTAGTTTCTTTTTTTCTCGTCTTTATTAATGTGTAATCAAAAAAGTGTGACTTTTATCCAGAATAATGGTTTTATGATTAGCAAATAAAACCATTTTACATTGTATAGAGGATCATTATTATAGATAATAATGCAACAATGCAAAAATGATATGTAAACAGCAATGACACTAGCAATGGGACTATTTTAGGGAAACAATTTGAGCAGCAGTACTCTCCGTGTCAGCGCATGGCGTCAAGATATTTTACAAAAACATTGCAGAATAAAAGAAATAAAATATTAAACAAATAAAACATTTGCCATAAAAACAACCGCCCAAAACTCTCACAAATATGGTCGATGCTAAAAAATGGTCAAAAGTCTAGAATAGCCCACCGTTCTCCTGAAACCGGGTTAAGTGTCAAGTTTGTTCCTGGAGAAACTGCAATATGCCTGTGAAAGCTGTGACCTGGGGATTCCAGACATACCAAAAATTAAATCATCTTATTACGCCCGAGAAAGAAAAATCATTTTGAATTTTTTTCCTTATTGCACAGATATGAGAAATAACAGCATTCAAAATTTTTACATTTTTACAGCAGCAAATATTTTTTAAGATATATAATTAAACTGCAGACATATAAAAATATTAAAACATGTAATTTTAAAAAAATTTAATATGACAAAAAAATTCGGGCACTTTTTTCTGAACGCAAATTCTGTGAAGGTCAAGTTATCAACTCTCTTTGAAAAAAATAAGGAAAATGCCTAATTTAGCTTGAACTCATGACAAAAACCGCAAAGCTGTATGCCTATTGTGTTTAAAAAAGGCCAATAGAGTGCTGACAGCATTTTTGATTGACGAAGTCCAAAAAAAATATAGCCGACCAATTGACTTTGATGACTTAAGAATTCCTCAAGGTTTGTGTGACCCATGCAGAACTGCTTTAAGAAAACGTGATGAGGGGCAACAAGTGGAATTACCTTAACTATTTCAGTTTGAAACAATAATTGTTAGGCCCCAAACAAGAGGACAGCAATGCAACTCCCTGATCTGTTCCATTGGAAGATTGAAATTAAAGTAAAAATACCCACTAGAGATGGAAAAAATTAAAGAACAAAACTCTGATAGGCATTGCTCAAAATGTCTTTCTATAATTGGTAGGGGTCTACCTCATCCATGCTCTTGCTGATCTGGGATTAAAAAGTTGACATCTACAGTGAACCATGTTACTGCTGCAAAAGTCTTTGAGCCAAATATTCTTAAGAAGTTTCAAGAACTTGGAAAAAGCTTGGGAGATTTAACTTAGACTACCATGACATTTACCTCCTCTGATCAGACAAAATCAAACTGCATTGTTGCTCATTGCAAAAACTTGAACAGTCTCATTGAAGAGCTTCTTTTCTCACAAAAGATTTTTTCACAACACATCATCAAACTTGGAATAGATGGTGGTAAAGGATTTTTAAAAGTTTGCTTGGGTGTCTCTGCCAAAGAGCCGGAATATGGAGAATGTTCACCTCCCAAGAAAACATCTTCTAACATCTCAAGCCCCTAAAGATTCTGGAATCAAAAAGCAACTTCTTGTGGCTATTGCAGAAGGAGTTCAAGAAAACTAAACAAATGTTAAACTCATTCTCTCACTTCTTGCCATTAAAGATGTCAATTTTGTTATCTCTTGTGATATGAAATGGCAAACATCATTTGTGAAAATGTGATGCGAAGATGATGCACGGATGCGAAGAAAAATGTGCTTGTAAGCAGCACATTTTTCTTCGCATCCGTGCACTTAGTGCAATGCAGAGAGTTCAAACCTTTCAAATTGTGGGAGACTTCAAACTTTTGGGTCTTTGAAGCAGTCTTTCAATGAGTTTATAGCAGCTGGCTCAAACACAAAAAATGCCAAGAAGTTTGGAAATGTGGC